AATAGATGTATATATATATATATATATATATATTACCGTGCTTTTGAACTGTCCTTGAAATGTATCAACAATGATACTACGGTTGGATCTTAAATGTTTAGCCCAATGTTTATCAGCCTCAATTTCATCTTGTTCAGCAATAGCACCATTCTCACAATTAACAAATGTTCGTGAGCACAGATTATTATCACTTGTATTGTTAATATTACTATCAATATCACCATCAATATGCCTATGATTTTTTTTTTCGTGATCTTCTAATTTCATACGCTTAACATTGCACTTTTCTAAACCATTATTATCACACTCAGTATCCGAGTTATTTGATAGACAATCATTATTACAATTATTTTTTTGCACATTTACTTCTTTAATACGTTTGATGCTAAGTGTTTTGTTGTCGAAATCATGATTTTCAGTTAAATTCGAATTATCTAACGCAGTTGTTCTACGAAGATTATCTTTTTGAAACTTTTGGGAATCATAACATATTTCATTATTGCACTCTTGGGGCGTTACCAGGAAATTAGCGTTACTTGTTTTAGCGTCTTTTAGTATATCATAGAAACCATGAAGATGAGTATTTTTTTTCGACAGCTGAGTTAAGTCGAGTCGCAGTGGATTGTTACTGTCGTTCATCTCAGCGTCGTATACTTTATTATAAATGAAGCTGGATTTAGTATCTAGAGTTTCATCGGAGTCTAATGTTTCTTCATCTTCATTTAATGGTGATCCTCGTGGTGAATTTGCTGTACTATCGAGATCACCCATCGGAGAGTCTAAATCTTCATGAAAAATTAAAAATAAAAAAAATGATAATCAAGATAGCAATAAATAAAATAAACTACAAACAGTAGCAGTAAACTTTAGAGAATACATAATTAACCCTCGGAATACACTGATGGTCATTTTGACCGCAGAATTTTTTTTATTCTAAAATATTTCTCGAAAATAGATTCGTTTTTAATTAATTTTTTCAACATTAATAACTATTTGATTCAGAATAATAATTATTGTATTCAAAAAAACATTATTTTACCTACCAAAAAAGTAATAAACTGAATTCCGATAAAATGTATAATTTCTGAAATATATACTGATAAAAAACTTAACTTGATTCAAAAGAAAAAATCTTAAATCAAGAATACCATTTTGAAGAAAATAATTTTCTTGAGTCAAGAAAATGATTTCTTTCAAAATGGTACTCTTGGTTCAAGATCTTTTATCTTGAATCAAATTAAATTTTTTATCAGTGTAATTCTTCGAAAGTCAAGTGGGGTCAATTTGACCCCGTGTAAGCTCTAAAGTTCTGTTCGGAGGTGTGTATCCTGAGGATTAAAAAAAAAAAATAACTGTGCACATAATTATTGTTAAATAAAAAAAAAATTAACTACCTTTGGGTGAACCAGCCATTGTAACATTTGGACTATTAGGACAGTCAGAGGATGGTGAGTTGTCATACGTATCCATGTAATCATCATTAGCATTAGTAGAGGCAGTGACGGCAATATCATCAGTACTAACAGCCGTAGAACTCATCATAGGCGGCATCGATGGTACATTTTCAATCTTTTTATTGGAGTTTATCGAATTGGCAGTGGTAATAGTCGCTGGTACTTGTTGCTGCTGCAGACAATTTTTAGCGACTTTAGCTGTATTCATTTGCTCATGCAATGAATCCAACAAAAGAGCGAGAAACTCCTGACAATCGTGTTGCCGATAATCTTTAAACTGTGAATGATAAGCGCCCAATGTCTGTTTAAACTCCGTTGGTTTAACGACCATGTATTTACGCGACCACATTTTGGTTAGCAGCGCGCTAAAATGGGTCATTAGTGAACCAGCTGGTAGCAGTTTCTCGTCGCTCTGCTGTACTTCTAGAAAGTACTGTAATACTGGCGGTGTAGCGGCAAGACACTGCAATCCTGCTGCCATAAAACAAGTGTTGCCCAAATTTTTGAGACCACAAACACCCGCCGTTGTTGATATTTCTGTAATTAACGTTTATTATCAGTTGTGATAATTTTATAAGAAAATATTTTTGGTCAGCTGTAAGTTTTTTTATTTAAACTAACCAACAACAGCATCTTCCTGAATGTCCGATGAATCAGCAAACAGATTATTGATTGGTGACAAAAAAGGTCCATGCTCTACACCTTCAGTATCGCTGATTGGATCAGCTCCTACTACATCTAAATAATCGTGAACTGGTGGTGGTGGTAGTGGTATCGCGATATTTGAAGCTGGTGTACTCGGTCCATCCCTATTTTTTGAATTTATTATTAACATATTTTATTTATAATATTAAACAACAAATCTTGGGAACGTGGACAATAGCAATAAGATGTTAAATTTAAAAAAAATGCAACGTTTCGTTGGTTTTATTTCCAAATTCTTATTTTAAGGCATATTTTAAGGTTAATATCCTCGTGGCAAAACTCTTGTAATAAATACTATTAAAAAATAATAATTTGATAAGGTTAGACTGATCCCCATTGCATGTGTGCAATTTTTTAAAATTTTTCCTCATTAAATAAACAAAGTAATTTAATTAACATTCAACAGGACCGATAATTTTTTTATAACAAAGCACATGTGAGACAACGTGATTAACAACTCACAGACTATAAGTACACTTATTTATAATGATATAATAAATAAAATAAACTAACCAAGTCTCTGCGATACCCATATTCACATCTGCAAGAACATTATCTTCTTGGATAGTAAGGTTGTGATCCAAAGACGATGTAAGTGGACTAAGACTAGTTGATTCGGATACTTCCAACTCCGGAATATCTGAAGAGTCATTAATACTCGATGATTCGATCATTGGAATATCTCCCACTTCAACCCCTCCTATTTGGTTGTCCATTAGATTTTTCAACTATCAAAAATAAACAATTATAATAAATAACAATGTTCAATACTTTTATCTTTATTGATTGTTATTGAAAAAAATATTTATAGTGGATGAAACAATAAAGGGGAAAGAATATATATATTTTTTTGTAAACAAAACTTTTCAATTAACATGCAATAATATAAACCAAGGAGTCACTTGCTGTAAGCAATGCAACCGAGCAATAAATCAAATTCCACTGAACGATAAAAACTAAAAAATAAAAGAAAAATTTACCAATTGCCTGGACGAGCATGACTTAACAAAAATTATCAAACTCCCGAATATCTAAATCACTGTGAGTCAGATGTGACTCTCGCGACTGGTTGTATATAAATATATATGAAAATGTTAAGAAAATATATATCTATAGGTGATGAAAAAAAAAATTTTTGCCTGTATCATGCGATGAATTCAAGGAACGCCATTAAGAAAAAAAAATAATCGCCCGAGTTTGATAATAATGATTATTTATGACGGATGTTTTTTTATACTAATTAATTTTAAAGGGGATGTTTAAGTTTATGGTATTACCTTTTATTATAAGTAGAGTAGTCTTACCGCAACCTCTTCTTTTTTATCGTAAAACTATACCGCCATTGCGGAAAACGGCATGGCCGGTGGCTGTGCACCAGAACGACCATCGTAAAGAGTTCTCTTTTTCTCCCTGTCTCCCTCTACCCTCCATATTTAACACACATCATACACGAACACGTACTCATAAATATATAGATATACATGGGTTTATTTTCCCCAACAAAATATATACCACTTGAAGTAACAGCTGCTGACATCTAGACTGTCATTTTTTGTAGTCACAAATTTACTTCGGAATTTGGCCGCTGTGTGGCGTTACTTCAATTTTTCATATTTTGAATTGATTGATATAAGTATGTGCAGTATTTTGTGTTTTGCTTATGATTCTTTGTTTACAAACTAACTTTTGCGACTGAAAAAAAAAAAACTTTCAAGTGAAATAAAGAAAGAAGAAAAATTAGAAAAATTTAATAAAAATGAATGAAGAAGAAATTAATGATATTGTTTATGAAGCAAACAGAAATATAATACAGTTAAAAAAATTATTGGAGCTAACACAAAAATTTCGAGGTATTTAAGTATTTGTTTTTTATTTAGTAACTTGACAAATTATTTTAATGATGTTATATTTTTTGTAGTTGAAGCTGTAGAGTTGGAGGTAAAGATATTACAAATGTATAAGTCAACTACCGTGAAAGAGCTTCAAGAGCTGAAATCAAGAGTTCAGAATGAAAGTAGCAAAAAAAAGTTGGAAAAAAATACTCTTGAGTTACAACAATCTTAACATTATTATTAAAAAATTTGATATATTTGTGAAACGTATTAATTAAAATCTAAATTTAGAATTTATCGTTACCTAATTTTATAGACGTTGGTTATAATTAATATTATGCTGTAAGATTTGATGCTTCAGGATTTGTAAAAAATTTAAGATACAACTAGTTCATCCTCTAATTATAAAAAATAATATATTAATAATAGTTATAGCGTTTAACTATAATTATAGTATGGTATAAAATAAATTTGAACTATTCCTGCAATTTTTTACTTTTTTTTTAGACCCGGAATTATAACATTTATGAGTCGATGTCATTGAAAAATTTTTATCTCTAATAATTTTTTTATTGCTCATTAATTTAAAAAATGAATAGTACTTATCGTTTAATAATCTTGCATTTTATTTCTTCTTTGTAGAACTAATTGTTTTTCTAATAAATCTCTAAAACTTATGAGGGAAATAATTTTTGAATTAGAAGAAATCTAAAAATAAAAGAAGCTGTAAGTAATTATAAAAAAAAAAAATAATCAGTTTATTTGTAATAAAAAGTTCATCAAACAAATGTATATACTTCAAATCAATACAAAAAATAATTTTTTTAAAATCTTTTTTTATAAACCACACTGATAAGTTTCTACTTTACTTTTGATTTGTGAATACAATAAACGAGTCTAACAACACTTAATTTTTACAAATAAAGAATAATAAAATTTACTTTTATGACTAATTATTGTCTCTTCATCGTTGATTAAAATTTTTCAATTACATTGATTTTTAATCGACTTATTCAGTTGTTGTTGTTTTATGTTTATACCGGCAGTGATTTTTTAAATATCTTTTTTGACCAAACTGCGCTCCACAAATATTACATTTATGAATTTTTTCCGTCGCATGGATGCGTTTATGACGGCTTACACAACCACTTGTACGGAATTTTTTTCCACAAATATCACAGCAATACGGTTTTTCATGTGTATGAACTAGAATATGTTTTTTTAGTTCTTGACTGCGAGGAAAAACACGCTCGCAAGTTGAGCATTTATGTTTCGATGTCGCATCTGTTAGGTGAAATTTTTTGTGACTATACAGAGCTGACTTTTGTTTGAACGATTTGTCACAGAATTGACAAACAAATGGACGATCACTTGAATGAGTACGAAGATGTTCTTCGATAGCAGATTTTGAAGATAATACATGACCACAGAGATCACACGGATATTTTTTTCTTCCTCCATGAATTGCTCTATGTCTAATCAATGCAGATGCAGCCTTAAAACCTTTCCCGCAGGTTTCACATACATAAGGAGTATCTTCAGAATGAGTATTTCGATGCGTCAGAAAATTATATACAGTTGACAATACTTTGTTGCAATCTGAACACTTGTAATAATTAATTCCATCAACTATTATCTTTGAATTTAAAATCAAAGCTTTTTGTTCAGTAGTTCGTTTCTCACGAGTGACGCGTTTCTTCTTAATTTGTAATCGCCTTCTACCGCTGGGAAACCTGAAATTATATTTATTGATAATTACAATTTGAATTATTTTTCCATTACAGATGATTCACTTCCATGATTTATACGTCTATGGTTAACTAAATAACGTTTTTGACGGAATGATAATCCACATTCAGAACACTGCCACGGTTTTTCATCTGAATGTACAAGCTTATGTCTTTTTAATTCATACTTTATTCTAAAAGGTCGATTACAAATTTCACAAACAAATGGTTTTTCGCCAGTATGTTTGGTAATATGGACCATAAGCGTCGGACGTGTGCGAAAGGATTGCTCACAGTGTACGCACTTGAATGGGAACACATCACTGTGTGTGCGATTGTGAACAAAAAGCGACGCTTTTTGCTTGAAAGTTTTTCCACATCTGTTACAAACATAAGGCCGTTCATTTGTATGAATACGTCGATGATCATCAAGTGTGCGCTTGGTAGCAAATGTTCTACTACAAATGTCACACGAAAAATTTTTAATTCCCTCGTGTGTCTCGTGTAAATGTCGGGCAAGACCTTGGTTCACTCGAAATTGTTTGCCACAGAGATGACAACAGAATGGACGTTCACCTGTATGGATACGCTTGTGCCAAAAAAATGTGTATGGGGAGAAAAGGTTTTTCCCACAATCTTCACAGTGATAATAAACGCGACCATCAGCTTCCATTCGAGCGTTTTCGATCATTTCTTTATCAACGCAAGATGGCTTTTTTATTAAATCATCCATCAGTACGTCCGGGTGAATCTCAATCATGTGTGCTTGCAATAACTTTTTCTTATTACCTATAAAATCACAGTACATACAAGGATATGAGCGAGGTCGTGAGGGTTTTACTTGAGATTCTTGTTGAGTTTTTGAATTTCTTTTATTATCTTTTTGTTCCAATTTTCGCTCAGTTTCATCTGAAGAGTCATGCAAATCTTTATCTTTATCTTTATCTCCATTATTAACCCGAGCTTCATCTTCGCTAGCACATGAATCATCATTGTCTTCAGAATAAGCTTCAGGTTCTTGATCGATTTGTTCAACCATGGGTCTCGGTAGTTCTTCCAACTTGTCATGACTCGTTATAGAATTTTTTCTCATACATCTTGAAGTTATACTTCTTGTTTGTATAAATGAAGACCTGTAAAAGATTATAATTAAGGAAATTTCAACAATCATCAATCAAATTTTTTATTTAATTATGATATGACGATTTTTCTAATGACTTGATATTAGTTCCTTAACAAAATTGTAATCTTGTTAGTCATTATTTCAACAAATAGACAATCATATATTTACTTCGAATTTGCAATCCTTTACTTAAAAATAATTTAGATTGAACTTTTCAATTTTTTTCTGAAACTCATGGCTGTGTTCTTAGTTTGTGGATTACTGTTTATTTAATTACAGTATTTACAACTTTCCCGGCCGAATGATTAAAGTATTAGTAATTTTATGCCTTAAAAAAATTTATAATACGTAGTATCATTTTTTACCAACCTTTCTTCACTAGGTGTCTTCGAATTTTCGGGAATAGATTCTTTTTCATGTTCTAAACTTTGAGGTACCTTAACAAAATTTCAAATAAGAATCAGTATTATTTATGTACAATTATAATTACAATACAAATAAAGACTCACTGGATTACTCTCTACATGGGATACAGATTGTTGGACAGTTTCTAAATCATCAGATTTGTCGATCTAAAAAATTAATATTAAGTCAATAACATACTTTAATAAATAAAATATATATTTTACCTGATTCTTTGAAAGTAACCGTTCTTCAATCCCTAACAGCTTTTGCTCAGCATCCAAACATCTTTCCAATAAATCATGCCAAGCTATTAAAGTTGAGGCGCAGTTGTAACACAATTGCAAGGGCAATGTGTCATTTTTTGTGACATTTATTGGTAAGTACCTTGATATTTTATTAATTAAATCATGTTGTAAGCCTTCGTCTCCAAATATTGGAACCATATGATTATTTGTGTTACCACATACTCGACACAAGTCTTGTAGATTAATTTCGGAGTTTTCTTGCTCACCACAATAAATATTCGTGTCATCCAGCATTGTCGTTGAAATAGAATCGGCGATATTTTGTTGATTTAATTCATTATTAAATATTAAATATTTGTTATTTGTCTCAATGACATTGGTGTAAACAATTTTTTTGACAGACGCAACTAACTTTGTCTCATCACACTGTTGATACGGAATTGAACTCTTCGGTTCCATTATATAATTATTCTTACTATTTAAATACTAATAGTTATTATACTGTTATAAATAAATTATAAAAATAATTAATTTACACTAAATACTAGACGTTTCATATTTAGTGCATAACCATACTTTTTTGTAAAATTAACAAATTGTTTTTTATTTGAAAATTAAAGAGAGCGCTGTCATCCAATGTTGATCCGACTTCTTTGATGCTAAATTTTTTCGCAAATTAATTATTTATTAATGACTAGAATATAATTAAAAATAGTTGTAATAGGACTATTAAAATTTTTTTTAAATAGTTATATCAAAAAAAATTTTTTTTTTAATTAAAAAAAATTATTTACTCTTAATGATTTAAAGTTTTTTTTAATAAGATAAATTAAATCAAAAAATAATTGTAAATTTTTAAAACTTATTATTTTTTAACAAAAACAATTTTTCTTTATATTTATAATCAACTTTCATATCACATTTAAATTTCGCGCTATAAAATTTTCACAATGGCGGATAACTTTTATACCAACACTACGAATGCCAAATGAATTGCTGCGTTCTTTCATTAATTAAAAAAAAAAAAAAAAAGAAGCATCGGGAAATACTCGAAGCGTCGGAAAGAGTAGCAGCGAGTGGTTGTAAAGTTTTGTATTGGCAATTGCAGTTTGGTAGATCCTATAGTAAATACTTTTTTTTTTATCGCCGGTCATAATCTGCATTACAAGCTAGTGAGCGAGCATTCTGAGTATCAGCATTGATTTTTTTTCTCTACATGCAAATGTAAAATATTAAAAAGATACTATCTGTCAATATTACAAATATTACTTGTGCATTATTTATAATCACATAATTTAAAGTACATCAAATTTATTAAACGTTGGGACAATTGTGTTTAAAAAGTATATAGGTGTACTAACCACCTAACTATTATACACCACTGACTCAATACACGCTACGTTTCAAATCGTTGATTAAACATTTTTTTATTTACTAATAAAGTAGTTCTTGGACTACTGCATCAAAATGGGTAAGACTTGATTATTGAAATTATTATTCTAGTACATTATCATTGTATTTGTGTATGTGTACTAGATATTTTTTTTTTTTTGAAGATATCAATATTTTTAAAGCACGTAATATAATTAAAGTCATTTTAATTTGCAAATATTTTCCTTGGATTTTTATATCCAACATTGTTTTAAATGTTTGTAGAAGATGCAGATACTATTGTTATTGATGACACTAATATGAAAATATTGGATGACTGTGTAAGCGAAGAGGATGAGGATGTTATACCATTAAGTGACAATGGTAATGATAAAGATGATAATGAGGGTGATGCAAATGAAGATGTTCAAAACAAAGAGGGTGATGACGAACAGAATGAAAATGAAAAACAATCGAAAAACGATGAGGATAAAAATAATTCAAATAACGAAGTCGAAGTTATTGACAGTACTGGAGAAACTGATCCCATGGAAAATCAACCGGATAATAAAGAAGATGATGATGCTCCGGTTATTGTCATAGATGTCCAGGAAAAAATTCAGACTGATGGCGAAGAGGACGAAGATGAAATTGACTTCACTGCTGATGTTAATCTTGATCAGCTCAGTGAACTTGATGGCATGCGTAATACTACGCAATTGGAGAATATTAATAAAGAAAATGAAGGTTCTGATATTGTTATTTTGAAAGATTCGCGTTCTGGTCCTAAAAATCAAGAGGAAAAAACTGGTCCCGAGTGGTATGAAACAAAGGTATGAATCGGAGTGGATAATTATTATTGTTTCTTTATATTTATTTAAATAATTTTCTTTATTATTTAAATAATTTTCTTTATTATTTAAATTATTTTATTTATTATTTAAATTATTTTATTTATTATTTAAATTATTTTATTTATTATTTAAATTATTTTATTTATTTTAGCTCACAGAAAAAATGACCACTGCCAAAGAACGTTTGTCAAAACTATCTAAAGTTTTGAAAAATTCATATGATTGTTATAAAGATTATTTAGAGAGGATTGAGGCTGCTTCTGGATCACCAGTTTGTCGAGTAATTAATCCATGGCGTTGCCCTTTGGATCGTCCCCATATTAATCGATGGAAATTTGCTTGTGAGTGATGAAAAACATTTTTAAAAATTTTTTTTTTACTTAGTTACTAGTTAAACTACAAATATTAATTATCCTTGAATTTTACTTGTGATAACGAAACTAGTATTGATAGTATAGTTAGTCGAACTGTATAATTAACTCGTACCTCTGGATATAAAAAGCTGGACGTGGACATTTCAACTGTTTGTACGCTAGTAAGCCATTTGATTATAAAAGTCAAAGTAATCAAATCAATAATGTTGATATAATTATTACTTGGACTTTTAAATGGCACTAATGGGTCAACATTCGCAAGTTTGTTGGTCTAATATTAGTATGTGGCAACACGTGATTATTTCACAATTTTAAATTGATGCATATATACAAGACTAAAGTGTGTTTATTTATTTATACACACTGTGTCAAATCAAGTGTATATGTGATTAGTTAATTCTCAGTCTAGTTATATACATACATATTAAAACATGTGTGTATATATGCAAGCTACTTGCTCGATCAACATCACAGGTGTTGCTTTCTCATAGTATGGCTTAAAAAACCATGATTGTATTTTTACAAATTCGAATCAAGTAGAATTTTTCAGTTAAAAATACAATCAAGTTATTGATGAATTAATAAATAAGCAATGATGATGATAAGCGTTTTTTATAAAGCGAAGAGTTGATAAAAATTTATCTGATAAAATAACAAAAAAAAAAAAACCAATAGGATCCACTTAGCTATTAGTTTATGAATTTAGTTGTATAAAAATATTAAAGTAGAATCATGACTAAGTCTTAGAGTGAATAGATCTTAAGTAAAGAGATCAGTAACTTATAAAACAGTCATGATTTTGTTTTGATTTACCCTTAAAATGTTCCTGAGCGTTGTTTCTATTTTTTAAGAAAAAAAAAAAAAAAGGCGAAAAAATTATTATAAAATTACTGTGACATGTTTAGGCACCAAAAAATCCGTAGAAGAGAATCTGTCCAGCGAATCAAATAAGGAGGATGACAAGATTGATCGTGATCATCGTGATGATAATAAAGAAGGTGATGGTGATGGTGGCGGTGACGGTGGTGATGATACCGTTAACAAGAAAATAGAAACTGTTTGGCGATTGGAGCCGTGCGACGGTGGATCGACTGCGAATGCTAATAATGGCTTCCAAACGATCCCAGATTTTGTAATGCGTGCTGTCAAGGTATATTTATTCATTACCTATGTCAATGAGATTCAGCACTGCGTTACACCTACATTCACTATATTGTAGTACAGTATGATGTCCATTGTGGACTGATTCTGTTTTTAAACTGCTGCTCATTCATTAAAAATGCATATTATTATTGACGATTAAACTCTGTCGAGTTTTAATTGTTTTAAAATATGCTTTAGCTCCACCTGATTACAACAACCAACTACCGGATACCACTTGATGGATTCTGAATCCTCGAGTGAAGAAAATGAGACTTGATTGTGTGATTGAATCACACGATCTACTCTTATGGCTGTTATAATATATATACTTAATTTATTAAATATATATATATATATTTGGGCTTTATGACGTCATAAAGCTTCTTTGATTAATTTAAAAAAAAAAGCGAAGACTTATAAACAGAAATGTTTAATAAGTAATTAATTTATCGGAGTAAAGTTGGATTATTTATTGGCATTTTGATTTTTGTCAATAAAAGTCTCTTGTACTTTTCAGTGATCAATCACTTATCACTGTGGGTAAATTGCTAATATAATTTTCGTGGTTCAAGTATCGAGTTTTATATTTAAATAAAATATTTAAAACTTGATACTTAATTAGTAACCAGAAAAATAAAATTGCGTGGGATAAATACTGTAGTGCGATCGATATTTCTTTATTTTCTTTGATTGAATTGATGAATCCTATTGCTAGTTTTTAATTGCTAATGTGACTCTTGGATGAATTTTCATTTTTTCGATATTTATTTTATAAATCGTATGCTTGATGAAGTAATTCTGTGGATACAAGAGTTGTATTAGTTAAAATTATTTTTTTTCAATGAATATAATTATTTATTATTGTTTACGATTATGTAGGTGTTTGAAGAATTTATTAACTCGACAAATGAAGATGCAGAGACAAATGATAAAAATGATGAAGTTCAAGAGATCAAAACATCTGAGAAGAAGCAAGAAGGAGATGAAGAAAAAACGGCAGAATCAACTGAGAAAAAGAATGACGAACCAGCTAAAGACACCGAGTGTTCATCAGAAAACGTACCTACTGAAAATGCAGACCAGTGGATGTGGTTATTGGTCCGTAGTAACAGCAAAGATGAGCTCATGTTGTTCGCTGCTGGTAGAGCTATCTCTGGAGACACTATGGAGAAATTGAAAAAATTGTTTGAGTCAGGAAAAGGCAATGAGTGCAATATCAAGTCACTCTACTGTAAATCATTGCTGAAGTAAGTTTAATAATTATTCGTGGTCGCAAAATTGTAAATATTTAAACTTGAAGTAATTTAATAATGTTTACTCAATGATGTTTCAGAATTAATAATGTCCAAACCGCCAACACAACATTTTTGGTAGGAACTGAGGCATTAGATGAAACAGTTGGTGATTTAAAAATACAGTTAGCTCCAAAGACAAACTTCTGGTTAAATACTGATGGCGCGGAACAATTAGCTAAAGCTGTTGAATTTTTATTGTTCCCTAATCCTACTATTACTGTACTTGATATTGGTTGCGGTCTCGGTTTAATTGGACTTATGATGGCATCCGTAAGTTTATATTTTTACGATAACAAATACAAGAATAAATATTTTTCTTTGTAATTGATATTAATAAAATAAATTAATTTTTCAGAAATGTAAAAATGTAATTGGATTAGATGTTTCAACAGAAATTGAAGAAGCTGAAATGACATGTGAATTGAATAAAATAAACAATGCTTCATACATAACCGGTAATTCAAACGAAATGTTGGCAACTTTAGCTAAGAAATTAACAGGTTGTCGAGCATCAGCTGTTGTTAATGCCAGTACTAATATTGGTCGCAGTATGTATTCTTAGATTATCTTTTTATAAATATATATGTTTTTTTCGTGATGTATTTTGTAATAAACTTACTAATGATTGCTTTATTTAATTATAGATATTGAAATAATGAAAGGTCTCCGGAAACTTCCTAATGTCCGTCGAGTAGTTATCGTAACAACACTAACAAAACAATCAGCTCGTTCAATACTTGAGTTGATTCAACCCGCTACAGATGCTTTAGGTGATCCATTCATACCCACGCGTGCTGTTGTAGTCGATACTCTTGCTACTGGGCCGCAATTTGAAGTTGTAATTAGAATGGAACGTCGTACAATGCGCCGTGTATTGAATTCATTTTTACCTAAAAATCCATCGTTAGTTAAAAATAATAATACCAATAATCAACCATCTAAAAACAATAATCAAAAAGTATCAACGCAAAAAAGTAGCTCACAGAAAGATAACACGAAAAATGGACCTACGAAAGAAATTTCTCCAAAAGAAAGTTCTCAGAAATCTAATATTCCACCGTCGAAATTATCAAGAAATCCTCGTAGAAGATTTTTAGGAAATCAACGAGCGCGTCTTGGGGACCGAGTAGCAGTACCTTCTCCCCGAGCATCGCCTAAAAAGTTGGTTAAAAATCCGTTTTTTGACAAGCCTCCGAGAAAATCTTGGCACGCTGAAAAATTACCTTCGCCGTCTGTATCGCGATCTCCGTTGGACTCCAAGATACCTAAAACTACTCCACTACGCAATCGTCGACCACGCAATCGTAGATCAGAGCCCATAATTGAATCTAAAAGTTCACCGAGACGAAAGCGTGAATGGGAAAATGATGGGTCGCGAGGTGGGCGAAGTGGACCTCCCGAAAAAAGAGGGCGTGATCAAGATGATGATTTACGTTTTAGATTGTCAGGTAATCGTTCTACTGAGCCTGACCTATTGCAGAAGATGAGAGACCAGCAGCGTATGCTTGAAGCTGCCAGAGTTAAATTGACTACATCAGCTGAGGATGTGCGTGGATCGACAGCTCAGCAGATTCAGGATATTCTTAACTTGGCAATAGAGCACACTAATCAAGTTCAAAGTCAATTGAGACGCTCTGTGTGGGAACGTATTGCACCACCCGATAATGTACGTCGAGATTTGCCCCAAAATGAAGATGTTGTTTTCAGAGGACGTCAGGTTAAAGAAATTGGACAGCAGGATATTATAATAACAACTCCAAATCGTGAATTTTTATCGACAAATGAAATGTTACGTCCGAGTTATTTGACAGGAGAATCTAATCAGATGATGCAAAACGATTACATGCCAGAACAAAATCAATTATCATCACGTTATGATAATGACGTTGTTCATCCACGTGATGAACGTAATGATTCCTGGTCACGAGGTAACAGTCGCAAAGAAGCGTTACCACTTTCACGAAGAAATTTATCACCACGTCGTGATAATCGTCGTGACAGTCGTAGATCTCCACCAAGACGATCAATGCACTCGCCACCAAAGAGACAATTATCACCACCCAGAAGACCGATTTCTCCACACAGGCGTCAAATTTCACCACCCAGACGTCAAATGTCTCCACCACGACGTCCCATGTCACCTCAGAGACGTCCAATGTCGCCACCCAGAAGACTACTCTCTCCTCCAAGGCAGCAATTGTCGCCGCCTGGAAGGTACTTTTCTCAATATGACATTCAGCAGCATCGTCAAATGTCACCACCGAGACATTTTTCACCTCCACGACGTCCTGTTTCTCCTCCGAGACATCGTCCCATGTCGCCACCACGTCGTCAGTCTCCACCGAGGCGCCAATCATCTCCCATGCGAATTCCCGGCGATGATTGGGACATTCCAAGCCGAGGCGCTTCTCAGCAGCATCCTCACTGGCAACAATCACTTGACAATCGCTCGGCTGGTCCAAGATTCGATCCATTGCCACCACCTTTGATGGGTAAGAATACACAAATGAATATTGGAAACGGTAATAATCGAATGAGTGGTGGTGGTGATGCTTGGAACAGTAACAACATAGGAAATATTACTCCGGAAAATCGATTTGGTGGACAAAGTAATGACTGGAACCCACGGGATAATGAAATATTCAATCACCGTGCTGGTAATTGGGGTGATGGTAATAAGAGAGGTCAAAAGTCACAGATTAATAGTTCATGGAATGCTAATGATAAAGATGATTGGAATGATTTGCCGGAAGATGCTAGAGATCCTTGGGGCGATGATGCTAATAGTAGTTTAGACAGAGACATGAGTGGTCCTAACTTTGACAGAGGCATGGGTGGAAATGATCGTGGTAATGAAAGAGGTTTAGGAGGCAAAGAAAGAGGACTCTTGAGTGACAGAGGACTCATGAGTAGTGACAGAAGTCTTTTGGGTAATGATAGAAGTCTTTTGAACAATGACAGAGGTATGAATGACAGATGGAATTTTGGAGGCAATAATAATAATTCTTCACAAAATAATTGGTCACTTGGCGGACCAATTAATCAGAATCCTTCCTGGCAATCCAACTTAGGAAACAACAATCCTTCTGGCAATAATTCTCGCTGGAGTGGGCCGAATTCAAACATGAATATGCCTCAAGCACCTGGTAATATGTCAGGTAATTGGTCAGCAGGCAGCACTTGGCGTCCAATTGGAAACAACATGTCCAGCGGATTCCCATCTCGTCCTTTCAATACTTTCAAATAAATTTTAAAATAAGCTCATTTATCATATTGCTCTAGCTTTGATGCATTAATTTATCGATATTCATTATTTTTTTGATTCGATCTTGTGCCAATTTTTTTTTCATTCCTTCAATATCAAAGTAATTGATAGTTTGTAGTTATGTTGTCATATATTGTAATTGCACATTTTTCTTATTGAGTTATTTTATTCATCAAAAATAAATAAGTCTTTCTTTTATTTAATAGATAGCTTATAGAGTAAATAATATACGTATCATATTAAACACAATATATTGATATTAATTTTATTTGAATAAAGGTAAATTTGCAATAAGCACTATAAAATGCGTTTTTAAATTTAATCTTTTATAAAAATATAGTCATCAATAAAAATACTATTATTCAAAACGGCTTTTATATTTCAAATCCTTTTTATTTAGTATAATTTTTAAAAATTAATACAGAGCACAAAATATATAAAAAAAAAAATCAATCAGTAAAGAATATTTATACCCAAATAATAGGTTTAATTGTTTATTAATTAATTGCTGGTGAATAAATAAATAAACTGTCATCAATTATTAATTTTCGAAATATAAACATGAAAAGTCATCATTTATTCACAACAAATGCATCATTTAATATAATTATCATAGGAAGATATTTAATTTACAATAATTTAATATAATATATCCATGGATTTGAGTAATAAGTTTCTAATCCACAAATTAAACATCCATATGCACACAGTGCAAAGCCGTCATCTAGACCTTGCCCAGTCTTGAGTGGTTATAATTTTATGATTGATGAAGAAAAAAAGGTAAAAACAGTTAAATATCTCTACGATCTCGTGTATTTACCCCAGATGTGTAACATAAACACCGACGCGATGAACAAAAGAGACATCACAAGAACTGGAACTGGTCCACTGGAATCATATAATAATAATAATAATAATAATAATACAATTAATTAGCTATTGTTTTATCTCAACAAATAGTTTGTTAAAAATTAAATGAAAAAATTATAATTACACTTTGATGCCAGGTGAATCATCAGTGTAAAATCTCCACATTCCACCGGAGCTAGTACCAGTGTTGCGGTTTCTAGCTGACGTTGCTGGTGCTGTCTTACGTTGTCTCACCGTACCAGCACCACTTGTTCTAGGTGCGACAGCTCTGCTTGGTGAACGACCTGCAGCTCCAACATTTGTTGAACTCGGTGCAGCCGGCTGTTTAAAAAAAAAAATTTTATTAATTTATTTACTTATTATATTCACCAGTATATTAATTAACTACATATGCTCCATTTAAAAATAATCATTTGGAGTTAAACTCCAAATAAATAAATTAAATTGAATTAAAAAATAAATTTATTAAGTAAAAAAAATTCTTACCATTCTAGATATTTATTTATTTAATAAAATAAGTTAACTATTGAATGTCACTGAATGGTTAGCTGTAGAGTAGCACGTAATCCACTGACTTATAAACTCCAAATGTCCAACTGTGTCCAGTTGGAATGAATTTACTATGGAGTTTATTGAGATTTGTCACTTACCGACGCGTTAAATGCGGATGTGTTGGATGTATACCAAAATACACCAGCGAACCAGTGGCACGACGTGTCGATTGTCTACATCCACGTGTGCTCTACTGACACGTCACCATCCTCACGAAGATCCAGCTGGAGCCACATATCAACACGGTTTTTGTTTTTAGTTCATTTATTTTTGACAGATGGCATTTATCGAGCATTAAAAAATAAATATTTCGTTGTTGATATTTACTTAGTTTTTTTTTTTTTTTTTTTTTCCAATTATTTAATAAATGTTTTTTAAATAATTAAAAATATTTTTTACTTGTTGGATTTTTAAGTCTAAAAAAAATTATTCAAGTTGTCTAAATGCGAAAATTAACATGACACCATCGAGAGATTTATTAAAACAAATAATACTAGAGATTAATGAACCAATATTATTTAATGGAATTATTAGTAATGATAATGATAATAATTGGAACAAATTAGAATTAAATAATTTTATAAAATTACTGGGTGATAATAAATTACCTTTTAGAGTTGGTAAAAATAAAGCGACTATTGTAATTATTTTAAATTTAATTTATAAATTGTTTTTATTGTATGAAAATTAAATTAGCCGACATCTAAGAATTTTTAGAATTTTTTTTTTTGAACAAATTATTTAAAAAAAATTTCATTTGTAAAAAATTTGAAAAACCGAAAGTGCAATTTTAAAAAATATTTTTTTTGTTATAATTTTTTCAATAAAAAAAAATCAAAAAATTAAAAACTTTGGCTAACTTTATTATTATTTATTTTGTTTTTGTTTTTCAGGAACCACAGTGGGACATAAATTGTCCTGTTCAATTGATGACAATAAATGAATTTATGGAAATCAGTGATGATAATAATAATGAGGACTGGTATTATTTTGATTATAAATATATGCATGAGTGGTTTAATGACAAGCCAGAAATATTAGAAGCTGTTGATTGGAAGCTGTTCGGTTTTGAAAAGTCTGGAAGAGACTCGACCCTTTGGATTGGTAGCAAAGGTGCTCATACTAATTGTCATCAAGATACTTACGGGTGTAATTTAATTGCTCAGTTACATGGCAGGTAGTTGGAGAATTTTAAATCTACTTTATAATTTATTTGATGTTTATAAATAATTTTATTATTTTTTAGAAAAGAATGGTTGCTTTTTCCGCCAGATTCGGGTATTCAGTTGAAGCAAACGAGAATACCGTATGAAGAATCAACGATATATAGTAAATATAATTTTTTTTCTCCAACGAAAAATGACAGAGAAGCGTTGGAGCGAGTAAATAAAGCCGCAAAGTCTGTTGTTTTGAAGCAAGGCCAAGTTTTATTTGTACCGAAAGGCTGGTGGCATTATGTAGAGTCCTTAGATTTTTCTGTAAGTGTCAATGTATGGTTACCATTGGAAAGTGATAATGAGGGTAGACTGAGGGAAGCTGTTACTAAATTTTTAATGTCTAAGATGGAAAATGTTCCAGCTTCTGAAGATCTTAAATCTGTTGATTTGAAAAATTTATCTGTATTAGTAAGTAACTACTTGATGAATTTTTGATGAGTAAGTTATTCTCGATTTTTATTTACTGTTTCAGATGCAGCATTGTGTTGATGAGTGTAAGAAGCTACGAGAAAAGAGTGATGAAATTCCTAAAAAAAAAGTTAAAACTACTCCGTTGGTTCTATCGGACTTAGTTAATGAATATCCAGATATTATTACAGCAATAGATGACTTAAATAAAGAACAGCTGAGTAGGATTATAAGTCTTAAGAACTCGAGATTTAAAAGAGAAGATAAAATTAATTTAGAAGTGAATAAGAGTTTTAATGATGACAGTGATATTTTAAAAACTGTTGTTGACAGGTTTTGTTCTCCAGACATTATTGATGTTATTGTTAACAGTTTGTTAAATGACTGACGTTATAGAAATTTCTTTATTTATTTAGAAAGGAGGTTTAAATAAAAAATTGTATTATTTTATTTTTGACAAAATATTATTATAAGTTTTCCTGGAGAAATTTTTTTATTTTTCATATGTAAAAAATAATTGAAATTAAAAATTGTGTTATATTTTTATAATAAAAAATATTTCATAGTTAAAATTCATTAAAATTAAGTTAAACATTTTATGTGAATTTTTTTTTATGGAACAATTCAATAATTTGTTTAAAAATATTACAAAATTTAGAAAACTACTATACGAAATAGTTTTAAATTTACATTTTTTACAAACGATTATTTAATAATTATTTTTAATATATTATTCGTTAAAAAATAAATATTTGGATAAAAAAATTTAACTGAGATAATAATCATTTAAGATTTTTTTTGTGAGACTACTTAACGAAAATTTAAACTTTATTGCTATGCGCATGCGCGACTATGGACCAATCGAGAATTCGTTGGTATACTGCGCATCTAGTTTGGACAGGAACCGTTGGCCGACCATCTTTTCATTCGTTCTCGCTCAGTCAAAGGCGCTGCGTCATCATTTTTTTCTCTCCCGCAATTTTCATAATTTTTACGTCATTATTCCCTTATAAAGTCTCAATATTGCTTAAAATACTGATATTTACTTAGAAGCATGATAATATGTATGAATTATGGAAATTTATTACGTAAAATCGCGTAAAAATGTATTCGAGTTAGTCGCGTTGTCCAAGTATCACTCTAACACAGTAGACACCATTAATCTAAATATCATGATTATCACCGCGGTCGAACTTCAGTCTCAAAAAATTGAAAATAAATTATAATTTCTATTAATATTATCAAAAATAATTTTGAAAAACTCAAAAACTTTAGAGCATTATCATAAAAGCATAATAATAAAGTTAGCCGACATCTTTGATTTTTTTATTTTGCTTAATTTATTAAATTATAACTAAAAAATATTTTGAAAAAATTGCACTTATAGTTTTTGAAGTTTTTAATAGATGAAAAAAATTTTTTTTTATTAATTTTTATTAAAAAAAATCATAAAAATTTTTAAATGTCGGCTAACTCTATTTTCATCATAAAAGCTCATAAATAATAGCAAATTTATTTTTTATACATAAATAAGTCCCGAAGGATCTAGGCTGTGTGAATAGTAGCTTTTTGGATAATTTATGTTGTATAAAATGTAATATTAACTAGTCGGTTTTCGCGGTTCGGTAGTGTAGTGTAGAAGCAAAGCTCCAGATCTTCTGAATTTAAATTGATATTACTATTATTAATATTTTTATCTCACCGGTAATTTTTTTCTAACAATAAAAATCATATTATTTAAATCAAAATGCATTTAATTCAATTATTTTTATTTTTTTTCTAGAAATTCCTAGTCACATCTCTATTAATCAAGTTTTGCTGATAATGGCTGAACACCGGTTGGTGAGTGATAAAATGCATGTTTTAATTGTTATATTGTTTATGTATCATAAGTTGTCAAAATTCAAATTATTCGAATATAAATGGAAAGTACTCGCCGCGATACCGATAAAGAATCATTAGCTGGCTACGTAGGTTGCTATTCTTACCGAATCATTGATTGTCAGTGACAGTTCTCACTCAAAATAAAAACAAAAGTTGTGTAGAAAGTATTTGTAAAGAACAAAATTGATAAATTTATTTCTAAATGATCATTTAATTATCAAAAATAATGGGTTTATTAACAGTATTAAAAAAATTAAAACAAAAAGAAAAAGAAATGCGGATCTTGATGCTGTAAGTCATTTATTATCATTAAAATGTTTCAGTATATACTTACTTTAAGGTTATCACTATCATTTTACTATCTTGATCTTTATTTAAATGTATTTACTTAGTAATACTTAATTTACTATGTCAATTACCGAATAAATAACTGATAAAAACAATTTACAGCGGCCTTGACAATGCCGGAAAGACAACAATTTTAAAAAGATACATTGGTGAACCCATCGACACAATATCACCAACGCTAGGGTTCAATATAAAAACCATAGAGCATAAAGATTACAAACTCAACATTTGGGACGTAGGCGGTCAGAAATCCTTGAGGTCGTACTGGAAAAATTATTTCGAGGCCACGGATGGTATAATTTGGGTCGTCGATAGTGCTGATAAATTGCGACTTGAGGATTGTAAAGCAGAGCTACACAAATTACTTCAGGAGGAACGTCTTCTCGGTGCTTCTCTGCTCGTTTTAGCCAATAAACAGGACCTGCCGGGCGCGCTGTCACTCGATGAAATCGCGGAGATACTGAACCTTAAGGTTATCAAAAGTCACCACTGGAAAATTTTCAACACTTCGGCTATCACCGCGGAAAATCTCCTCAATGCAGTCAATTGGATCGTGGATGATATTAGCGCGCGAGTTTATTATGGTTAATTATAATCACCGTATTAAGATATTGATTATAAACCTGTCGATAATTTTGTTATATTTTTTTTACAAATTTCAAGTAAATTTTTTAATTTAATACAAGCGTTCTATATTTCTATATTTCATGACATCAATCAAGCTTCATTTTATTTTTTTAGATTTTTTCTTAATTTTTCTTTTCTTTCTGGGCACAATGAGCGGCGGAAGTTCGGTTGCTTCAGGATATTCTTTTAAATAGAATTGTTTTAAAATACTTAAATCTATTGCATCGTCCCCAATTTCAAATGCTTTTGATATTTCTGTTATTAAAGACTCCGATAATTTAATTTTGGCAGATTTTATAGATTTTTTGAAAGCTTCTGTAATAATCAGAACATTAGAATAAAATTTTATTTCATTTAAATGATAAATTTACCGCGAGAAATTATTAGATCCTGCAGTGACATCACAAACTGTCCAAAATTTCTTTTCAACTTTTTTTTCTTCGGTTTCATGGCTTCAAAATTAGCCCTTTTTAAAAAGATCTTTCGCGGATCTGGTCCAATTATTTCATAATTACTCAATATTCCTCCCAAAGTAACATCGAGACCTAACCGGGTTTTTAAATCATCCAGAAGTGGTAAGACTTCTTTATCCGCCCAAATATTCTCTAGATCAATCATTTTAAGCCGTGAAGTCGATGTCAACCTAGTAAGTGTTTGAATAAAAATAAAAACTTCCTTCGCTTGCACGGGATTATTTCCCAATTCAACTATTTCCAATTTTGTATTATTTATCAGAGCCTCGGCTATTTTTTCCACTGACGTAAAACTATTATCTTGAATTAATGACATAATATTAACATAATTAATGGTAAATTCATTAATGATATTAATAATTTACCTCGGAGATCCAATCTCAAAAGATTTGGATCAGATGATAAGTATTCTGTTAAATACGGTACACATTCTCCATCCAATCCATTCCAATTTACAATCAAATATTTTAAAGTCTCATTCGCGGTTAATCCAATGATAAAAGTCTCCCAAAATTTACTACTGTTTAAATTATTCCATGATAAATTAAGCTCATCCAAATTATCAGTTTGAATGAGCATTTTTTGAAGAGTGCTAGCGCAATTTTCACTCAAATTATTGTTAGAAAAATTGACCTTTTTCAAACTCGGGCTACAATAGACACCTTGAAAATAAAAATATTTCATTATTTTTCCTAAAAATTAATTTAAAAAAACATAAAAAGAAAAATACCTTTGCTTAAGTACAGCAAGCCTTCATCACCTAAATCACAGCGACTAACATTTAAATATTGAAGTGATTCCGCGGAGCTAATTCCCGTTTCTAGCTCTTTAGACCCCGCTTCTCCGATACGACACCCAGACAAATTAATCTCGGTTATTATGTTGTTATTTATAAGAAGATCGTTCAAGTGATAACATGCGTCTGCGGTCAGCCAATTATCCTAAAAAATGGTAGTCATAAAACGACTATTTTAATTTATAGACTTGTTTAAAGCTCATAGTTATCAGTTCAATGAATCAGACTAATATTTATCTATCACATTTAACTAACCTGAAAATTCAAGATTTTAACGGTTGTATTAGAATTTAATGCCTCGCAAATTATTTTCATGGTTCGCGGATCCAGGCCGTAGGATTTTAAATCAATTTGATTAGTGTTTAACATCTGGGGAATTTGTCCGAGAGGTGGAATATTTAACTCTTTTGTTAACTCGATAAATTTTATGACTCCTTCATCTCTGTCTCCTGGTAATTGAGGAAACAAGATCCAGGATCCAGGTCTGAGTCCCGCGTCTTCGGGGATATTTATACTCGAACCATTTTCGGATTGTAACTCATCGCTGAATTCTGAATCTTGAGGAGTTATTACTGTTTTTAATGATTCATTCGACTCTGATTTGATTTCACTGGGCTGATCCTATAAAATAAAATTGATGATAAAATAAAGTTAGTTTGGTATCGAAATTATATTGACATTAATTGAAAAAGTGGCTCCTGATTCCTTATTGGTTCAGAATTAGAGCGCATGCGTACGCGCGCAATTTGAAGTCTTAGTAATTATTTTTAAATTAAATTAATCATTTGTTAAAAGATGAGCAGCACAGATTACCGTATCTTGAAAATTAGCAGACGAAAAAACTTGAGATAAGGTTTCTTCTAGTAAATATTCGAGTAAAGAATGAGGTCTAGGATTAGATGAATATGAAGAACTGTCTTCCGCTTCGTCATGTGGATGTTCGTGTTGGTCATCATCATCTTCTGGGTTTAAAAATAGTTGAAATTGATTATCAAGTATCTGAGACTCCTAGAAATAATTTCACTAGTTAAATTAAAGCGGTTCAACAGAGTTAATTACCTCGGTCAAGCGACTTGTGCTCTTTAATATAAACCATCTATCTTTCTCTTTCTCGGTCTGTCGGTCTGTATTTTTCAGCACATCTATACACATCTGGATGAGGGATTAGAGTACTTATATTACTTAGTATCTGAATAATGTCGTCGACATTGCTAACTCGAGTGAACATTAATGCCGACTTGGGTAGTATGAGCTGAGCGGGAGACAGAAACGGAAGGCAATTCTTTTTAACTTTATTACAAACGGCACTCTCTTACTCCGCGTGAATCATAGGACTTATATTACTACTTATAGTCGCTGTCATTAACAAGCTCCGGACGTTTGTCGAATGCGGAAGAGCTTGAGTTTAACATTTGCTCTTGTATATACTTACACGATTATCCACGTTCATGTCTTTAAGACTTTTTATTATTCATCATTCAACTAAACTCATTAATTAAAATTGTTCTTTGGTCTCATAAAAAATTTTTACAATACTAAAATTTGTTTTATAGTAATTTATAATAAAGGTTATAAAACTGACAGTTATATTAATAATAAAAACACTTTAAATTTACGAGAGATATCTTTCGGTTATGTTGCATTTTTCTGGTGTGAAGTAGCGTTATAAGAGCACAAAAATGTGAGAAATTTTTTTTTCAAATGAATTTTTATGACTTTTACTGAAGAAATTAAAATTAATTCATTTTATTATTAAAAATTTTCTAAGAAAATTTTTTTATACAAAATTGAATGATCTATTAAAAATTTTATTTAAAACTTGAATTAAAATTTTTATTTATAATACAACGGTTTAATGTTTAAAAAAAATAGAGTCGATTAGATTTTCTTGTAACGCCTCAGCTTCGCAAAATGAAAACATCTAGATAATTACAGGCTGAGCTTTAAAAAAAAAAATAATAATTATTTCACGTTTAAAATAATAATGAAGGTTAATTATTTAGTAACTAAAAAATATGAGCGTCCTGACTTAAAGATCCTTTATGTCTAAATTAGTTACAGAGTCTCTTGTATTATATGCCTCTGCCAGATGACGGTTGATTTAAATCTTGCGGTGTAGTGAGATTTACTATAAGCGTCTCTCACAGATATCAACATCAGTGATCCCGTTAGCAAGTGAATATAAGAAACGTGGTCATTATGAGACAACCGTGATGTGTCTAATCGGCTGTCCTTATAGACTTACGGCACACCGAGAGACAGATAGTGAACGAATAAGAAAATTTTAAAAGATAAATTTTTATCCACCACCACCATCATCATCAACAATATTACTTCACACATTTTGACTATCTCAACGCTTCGAGACGTTCGTTACTCATTTATATCTACGTATAATAATAAATATATAATAATAAAATAAACTATTCGAATCACGCTACATTTGAAAGTCGTTGCGTGACCATCAACCACAAAAGCAATCTTTTAATAATAATTCACGTATTAATCATTAAGGAGACATCAACAACGTTTAATGTAACAACTTATGCTCAGGCTTTTTATATATGTACCTTTTTATTATACCGTATTTGAATTTAAAGAATTTGTTCTTTACTTTGACCAAACTCTTTGGTCGGTTGGACATTGCCCGTGCGCGTATATCGACAATACAATTAAATAAAACTTTTAATTTAACCTGTTCACACGAACTGATGACTCATCTTCTGGATATCATCAGCCGAGTCAAGTTAAAAGATCACTACTCTATTGTATTTTAATTTAAAAGCTCTTAAATTAACAATTATCGTCCTCTGAATGCCCTTTTTATCAAGAACGAACGGTACCGGTGCTGGATTCTCCCTTTTTTATTTAACTATTTTTATCCTTTCCTTTGAATTTAAGCCGAAGACTCACTCGGTCTATCTATCTCCCGATATAATGCGAGTCGCGTCTGTCTCATATGTATAAATATCTTATGTATTTATTTTATACCGTATGTATGTGTGTGTGAGTGATGTTGTCGTCTCACGGGATAGAAGTTGATGAGCCCGACCCAAGCAGAGCTAAACCCAAGTCCGAGTGATGGCATTGCCGACCGCGAATTCGTCTCCTTCAACCTGTACTGGCGTTTGCGTCCCTTGTCTCTCTGTTCAAGGGAAAAAAGACTCGTTCACGTAGGTAGAGAATAAGAACCGCGACTACGTGCCCGGGTGACTGTTGTTAGTCTTTTATTATTATTCTTATTCTTATTTTTGTCATCATTATTATCGTTGCTATTATCATTATTTTTGTTGTTGTTGTTGTTGTTGTTGTTGTTGTTGTTGATGTTTTCCTTTATATGCTGCTGTTTTATAACGTCATACAGCTGCACTCAAGTTATTTTCTCTCCTCTTCACTCCTATCCCGGAAATCACGTTTTACGAGAGATTCCGCGATCTCTGTGATTTGAATGCAACAGCAGTCTGACTCTGGCTCTTTTCCTCTCAGACCGACGGATATTTAAAGAGAAAATATAATTCCGCGTTCGTGGTAGGGTAAGACGAGCCCTTTAAAGGATAGTTTATTTTTTAGGTGAAGAAATAAAAAGTCGGCTTAGTTATTTTTATTATTTTTTTTATTTTCATAATTGTACTTTTTATTGAAACTTTTTCATCATCGTTTTACTCTTTAAACGTACGGGATTGTGACGGGATCGTGTGGGGGACGACGATGGGAACTTATTTACACGCACTCTCTCTCGTTAAAATAATTCAAGACAGACACAAGTTAATTTTCAGACACCTACGTGGTGATGTCGTTTTATATACTCTATCTACTATCGTCATCATTATAATCATAATCATAATCATCATCATTATAATCATCCACCAGAGACAATGATTCGACAATTGTTTATTTATTTTTGCTTGCACATTTAAATTAACGTAAGAATAAATTTTTATTGCATGGTTAATTGCCGGCTTAAACATTTTCAATGAGCTATTGATGAATCATTGTCTTTGACAAATAAAAATAATTATTGGAGGCAGTAAAAATGATATTATAATAATACAATAATCTATAATAATTTTTATCTTGTTGAATTTTATCTAATATATAAATCAAAATAATATTCAATTGTTATCTGATTTTTTTTATCTTGCCTGTTTTTAAAACTTACAAGTTAATAAACTACGGACATACATCTAATATAAAATTATAACGCGTTATTTATTAAAAAAAAACAATTTTTTTCTAGACCAAATAATAATATAAAACGTTTACAATTGCACATACATTATCATATCAATTATTATTCTTTTAATTATTTTATATTTATTATTATTATTATTATTATTATTATTATATAATTATAAATGATATATAAAAAGTCATATTTAATTATCATTAATTTTTTTATTATATACAATTAACTCGACACATAATTTATTATGAAAATTTATTAAAGTATTTATTAATTATAATTTTTAATTCAATTAAATTTTTATAATTTGTTTTAATTGAGAGCTTAATATTATTATTTTATTTAACGTAAAATTTACAAAATTTTACGAGTATTATCATCACAATTATTGTGAATATTTATTTATAAAGATTAACTATTATACAGTACATAAAAATCTCTTCGCTCGCTTCATTCTATTTATTTATTTATTGAATTAAACACGAGCCATTACAATCAATCATACATTAATTTATTTAATTTAATTAATTATTACATAAAATAAAACAGTAAAAACAAAGTACAGAATATAAACGCATAATAATTATTAAAAAAAATAATAATTGTAAAAATTTTAAACACATGATCTTAATTATTATAATAATAGTAATATTTATCTAATAAAAATCAATTATTGAATAATAATAAAAATAGTAATAATAATTAATAAAATAATAAACTATCGTACGTGTGATTTGACGGTAAAATGTCATCGTACATGATTATCACAATGTTGTCTGGAGGAATGTACCGAACTGCTGCTAAACGTTACATTATCAGACGTATATTATGTCATATATTTATATTAATATATATATTTATAAATATCTATATTTATATAAATGTGAATGCTTGAGCGTATCACAACCCTAGAGCCTATAGTTACGGTACATCAATCTTAAATAACTAAAAAGTACCCTTAAAGTTTATTTATATTTTATAAAATGTTCATTAAAAATTAATTACATTTTCATTAAAATTAAAAATTATAAAAATAAAATAATATATAAAATATCAAACTAAAAAATTTCTAACTATGAATTCTAGCATTAATATAATAGGAATGGAAAATAGTAGTATATAAAGGTTCAGGATACCTTCCAGGAAGACAATCCACGCTTAATAAAATTAATAAGTACAGAATATGTACATATGTACAACGATAACAATTGTGCATTATCATTATCATTAATTATAATTGTGTGAGAGTTGAGTGATTTATTGTCACGTCTTAGCGTTTTATCGGCGAGTATTATTACACCCTACGGCACACCGCGTGCTATAAGGTACATTATACCTTTTTGTCCACTATTTTATTTTACTGGTATATACTTTATTATTATTTTTATTTTTAAATTTATTATCATAACCATTATTATTATTAAATACGATTATCATAATTATTATTATTATTATTATTACTATTTCATTTATTATTATCGTTATAAATTTGAAGTACTTTCTTGGATATGCTGGTACTCTGTACTCGGATTAAATTGGGCGTATCATTCACTCTCCGATTCTGTGTAACGTTAAAACAAGTGTCAGAGACTTATTAACCACTATCATATATGCGCAGTGGACTATTATGTAGAGGAAGGAGTACACTCGGCCATAAATGAACAAGTAAACCCAAGTACAACACGACAGGCACGCGGCAACGGGAATATTGTCTGATGATGTGTCTTGTAGTTAGACCCCCGTGACACAAGCCAACAAGGCCATCCTTTTGATATAAACTTTTAAATGTGCGTACTTTCCTTTGTTGTTATCCTCTCGCTTTGTTTTATCATCTCATAATCTCTCTGATGCTATCATATATATCTCTTATATCTTATACCTATATATTTATTTATTTATATATAATATATTCATATATTTATTTATTTATTTATATATTTATATAGACTTCTATGTATAAATTTCTCTGTATCGTTCATTTTTTTATATTATTAATACTAAAATCTATATATTGATGGCCGTTAACAGTCGTACCTTTTATTAATTACTAATACAAGGTTTAAAAGGTTGAAATGAGGGCCAAGCAAGTCTTTTATTACAATATATACGTTGAGGCGCGACTGTGGATCCGGCCACTCGACCACATGTCATTTCATATAAATTCAATCACTCGGCATTATAAACACCTCGGCACGATGCAACAACCTCAAATATATTACAGTCGTGCGGGAATAATAATTCATCATATATATCATATAAAATCACGATACTCTTGACTAAATCATGAAATAAATGTCTGATTAAACGTGTACAGTTAGCACCTGTCGTGGAACTATTTGAGCGCTCGTTCCGGGTTGCTGTTGCGGCGTTTGTTGATGCGAATAAGCCGGCTCTTGAAGACGCGGTTTCGTGTAGGGCTTATGGAGGCTCTCTTCATACGAGAAACTCGCCGTGTTATTCCTCGCCTCGGCGCTCGTCGGCTTGTAGAGAGGCGGTAATCTATGTCGTCCTTCCTCAGCAACCATCTCCAGGCTCTCTTCAGCGGGCCCCAACGCACCCAAAGACATTCCGGACAAGGGTCTCACGATAGACACCCTTGGTTCTCCAGTATCCGAATCCTTGAGCGGGTTCGCGTATCTCCTGAGGTTTTCTTCATTCTGAAGATTGTTAGACTTTTCATCCAAATCACTGCGATGCCGGTGCAGCGACGTTTCGCTGCTCGTGGTAGCAGTCAGTCCTGATCTCTGCCTCGATCTCAAGTACCAGAGACCGCCCAAGAGCGCCAGAATCAGAACGGTAGCCAGCGCGCCTCCAAGAACCGCGACATATCCGCTGCTACCGGGACTGTTTGACGCAGTTATTGGATCCGTCAGCAAAGCCGTCTCGACTTTGACTTCTAGCACTGAGGCCAGAGCCAGAGGCCTGCTTATAGGTCTACTCAGAGCCTCCCCTAGGTCACGGGCCGCGTCTACGGCCGCTTCTGAGAATATTGTCACCTCAATGGTGTCGTTATCGCCGGGTTTTAGGTCACACAGTAGCACTAACGATTGCGGTCTTCGCGGGTCTGCTAGCAGCCTTCTCAGTTGTCTGCACAAGAGTTCTACGGAGGTTCCAGGGGCCAGAGTGTCTCTTCTGAGTAGAATAGTCAGTCGAGAGCAGGTTGGTCCCGGAATAGCTTGGCCAGGCCAGCAAGTAGGTGGCGCCGGAAGAGCAGGTGGACCAACTCTTCTGCCAGTCTCCACTGGCCGACATTCGCCCCACGGAGAGCAGGGAGGCGCGAGACAGCTCTCGCCTGGTGATGGTACACAAACTTCATGAGCCAAACAAGACGTACCGTTGAGACAATTGCCCTGGCCACACCAGACATTGCTGCATTGATTTTTAGCGTTGCGACACTCGCAAACGTTGCAATCATTGTCCCACGTAGTTGCACTGCAACCGGCTCCGCTGGCAGTCCTTATTTCACAGTGAATACCTGTTCTACCGGGTGGACATATACACGAGTAACTGGCGATACCGTCGATGCATGTAGCTCCACCCATACACGGATCACTTGCACACTCATTGACATTAATCCGGCAATCTGGTCCGGTAAATCCTGGAGCGCACTCACATCTGAACCAATTAACACCGTCTACGCACCTACCGCCATTCAAACATGGTAATGGTTGACAGTCATCCACGTCTTTACGACAATTCGGACCTTCGAAGCCCTCGCGGCAGATGCACCGATAACCCCCGTCCGCGGTATTTACGCAGGTGGCGCCGTTCTCGCACGGAGAACTCGCGCAAGCTGGGGAAGCTATGTGACATGCAGCGCCTTCCCATCCTGGGGGACAGTGACACGTGAACCCATCACCGTGATCTTGACAAGTGCCCCCGTGTCTGCAGGTTCCTGGCTCGCAGTGACCGCCTCGGAGCGTACAGGTTTTGCCTTTCCAGCCGCCACGGCACTCACATGTAAAGTCCGCCACTCCGTCTATGCAGGTTCCATTGTTGCGACAAGGCGCGTTGGTACACTCGTCGACGTCTGAAATACATAAGGATTATTATTATATTGGTAATTAATATTTATTTGAGTGGATGGAAAATGTGTCAGTGCTAATTGGTCACTTATTTTTTAACGGGCTATTATTTTTATTAGCAGGCGCGAAAAGGTGAGCGTGAAGCAACCGGTCAAGGGTCAGCTATTTATTGTAGAGTCAAGAAAAATAATTGATTATTTTAAGTTATTAGCGGATTTTTTAAATGTCATTACATTTAAGTGTTAGGTTGTTGTGTAAGATTGAGTGATTTAAAATTTTTTTTTCTTTCTTTACACATAAGAAATTTATCGAAAGTAATTGAACAATTAATTAATCTGATGTTAGAATGTTAATGAATTGTGTTTCGGATTTTAATAGATATAATAGTCTTGACTTATTTTAAAAATGAAAAAATTTTAACTCTACTTTTAAAAAACTTGATTAAAAAATTCTCAATTCATAATAATATTATAATTATACTTCAGACACTTTTCAAAAAAGTGTATTATGATAATGAATATTATGCAACATAGAAACTGATGTAGATATGAGCTTAAGAAAGTTGTAAAAGATGAAAAAGATAATTACCTTCATCGCAAAGGTCACCGGTCCAACCTTCTTGGCAAATGCACTGGAACGAATTAATGAGATCTACGCAGGTACCACCATTTAAACAAGGATTCCCACGACAGTCGTTGATATTCTCATGGCAGCGTTGACCGGTATAGCCAGGATCACAAACGCAAACGCCGTTGCTGCATCTACCACGTCCATTGCAGGGCGTTCCTTCACTCCCACATCCTGGGCTCCCGTCGTCCGGTCGAGGATTGTCTACTGCCAGCTCGGAGCAGTTTTTACCCTGCCATTGCACTGGACAGTGACAGTAATAGTCGCTCTGAGTGTTAAAGCACGGAGATGAATTTCTGCAAGGGTTAGGGGTGCAGTGATCCTTTACGATTTCACACTGGTGGCCCGTGAATCCCACGGGACAAACGCACTCATATGTGTTGACAAGATCTCGACACTCGCCGCCGTTTTGACAGGGTTTGGATGCACACTCGTCGATATCTACGTCGCAGTCCTTCCCAGAGTAACCGGGGTTGCATGAGCAGTGATAGTCGTTCACCAAGTCGATACACAGTGCTCCGTGTTGACATTGACCCACGCAATCATCTATGTTTTTCGTGCAGTTTTTCCCGGTAAATCCGCTTCGACATCGGCATCTAGAAAATAAATGTATGGTTGTAGAATTGATAAAAAAAAAAAAAAAAAAAAAACCAGTTAAATATTAAAATTTTTATATGAACTCAATTAATTAAGTAAAGAAAATCAGTTTTAATTAAAACGAGTACTTGTAAATTAACTTATAATAAAATTTAATGTAAAAAAAAGTATCGAAATTAAATAATGCACGTATAAATAGATCAATTCTTAATCATTAATTTTGTTGACTGTGTTTTGATGTGAAAATAAAAAATTAATTTGAATAAATAATAGATTAAATTTGTAAAGTAAAATCATTTTAAAAAAACGGGTCACGTTTAACAAAAAATATAATTTCTATTAAATTTCTGTAATTTGCATAAATTTAAAACAATTTTCTCACGACTATTAAGCAAAAACAAAACAAAATACTATACAATAATAAATCGTTAAGTTTATCAAATTAATTACAACTAATGAAGGATAGTTAATTACAAAGGATAAATGATACTCCAAGGACAAAATAACAGAAAATGATTCAGCGGTTATTAATTACCTGTAATCTCCAGCAAGGTTGACGCAGGTAACAGAGTTTTTGCACGGCGACTCTTTGAGATTACACTCATCAACGTCAAATTGACATAGTGTCCCTTGCCATGCAGCCGGACAATGACAAATGAATTGATTTTTCTCATCAACACAGGTACCGCCGTTCTGACAAGGCTGGGACGCACATTCATCGACATCCGTCGCGCAATAAGGCCCCGAAAATCCCGGGGCGCATTGACACTCCGCGGTTTCACCCAGTTCGACACACGTCGCGCCATTTAGACAAGGATTTGACGCACACGGGTTGTCAACTTTTTCGCAAGTCGACCCGGAAAAACCGTCCGGACACGTGCAGCGATACTGATCTGGAGCAGTGTTCTCGCACGTCCCGCCGTTTTGACAAGGCTCGTGTGTGCCGCAGTAATTTAGATCTTGATCACAGAGGATTCCTCCCCAATTTGTGTCACATATGCACTGCCAGCTTGACCCATTGCAGTACCCGTGTTTACAACCCGGGTACGGTGTGCACTGGTCGCAGAGGTCTCCGCGCCACCCATGACGACATTTGCATTCACCACTCGCGTTACAATGTCCGTGAATTGGATGACATCCCTCTTTGCATACCGCTGAAAAATAAAACAAACACTTGTTAAAGCTTGCACTCCCACCATTACTTGTATTAAGATTTATTACAATTTTTTATTAGACTAACAATAATTTTTTTATTTGTTCAAATTATCGGATTGCTTTTATAGGATCAGCCAAAAAAAAAAAAATTCGTGGGAATATTTAAACGAGAAAAAAAAAATATTCACGAGTGTCGGTTGTTTCTGTTGATGAGGATTAGCTCAAATTAATTCATGACTCAAGGGTTTAATATATTAATGAATACAACGGTAGTTTTTTCTTTCTTTCTTCAGAATAATAATAATTATTATTAATATAATCATTTATATGAATACAGAAATGAGATCGTCGTGGCGGTCTTAGACGATTATAAATTTTGTTTTAAATTTATATACGAGTTTTTTGTTTTCTTCAAAGAATATGCCTGAAATGATTCATAAAAAGCTATCATATATGGGAGAATTTATCTTTACGCTTAATAAGAGAAATGAAGTTGATAATAATAATTAATAATAATCATCATGATCGTCGTCAGGTATTTAATAATAATTAATAAAAAAAAGTATTAATTTGAAAGACACATTAAATTTAATGTTTATTGATATAGTTGTCCGTGACATGAAACTAAATTATAATGATTATCAGTATTAGCACACTCGAGCAAGTATATAAGTGATGATTTGTACGTAGTACATATTCTTGGAAAAAGCATAAACATAAACTATTATTTTAATGAGGTTACTTTTAACAAAATAAAAATATAATGATAATAAAACAAGTGGAAATAAAATAAAAGTCTATTGAAAGAAAAAAATAACGAAACCCGTATAGTTAATTTCGCAAGACTTTAAGGTTGAAGGTTCGAGTCATGAAACCAAGATTAGAGTCATCGTCAAGATGAACGAGAAACATTGACGTCAAGTAATAAACAATAATGCTTTGCCGTCCTCTATCCGTGAGATAGAATTAAAAATTATCATCGGCAACTTAGCTTTGCTTTTCATATTCAACTTCTAAGTTAATAAAAATCTTTGCTTCAAATGAAATACACTGAAAATTACAAATAAATAAATGAATAAATAATATATAAATGTGCTTATAGATATTTATAATTTACAATTTATTTAATTGCAGATAAGAAATAGTATATACATGTGCTCTTTTTACCGTTACATCACATGCTTTAGCAGCGCGTCTTTTGATTAATAGTACAGCCTCTATATGCTATATACTATACACCAGGTATTTTTTTATCTGGACAACAGACATTTACGGATATTTATACGACTGCATAGTGAATACTCCAGTCAAGGTAAACTAAATGACGGTGCATAGAAATTTAATCAGTGGATATTATAGCTTTAAATTCCAGATGCCTTTGTATCTAGTTGGATATTAACTATCAACTAAACGCACTGTCCGAGATCCGAGAATCAATCCCGTCAACTTTCATCGAGATTCATCGGTAGATGGTTTACGGTTTATGGTTGATGGAATGAACTAGCCGTAGATCGTAGAGTAATTTGGTCCTTTTGATAAAGCATTTATAAATGCCGAGACATATAACAAGTGAACGTTGACTAAGACCGACATCAAGATGACAGAAAGTGATAAAAAAAATAATACAAGAAATAAAATGAGAGGAGATGGGAATAATCCTTCGTCATGGTATCTATATTCTATATGTATGTATTATTATTCTCATATGATCTTTATCCCCACGACTATTAAAACCGATTCAACGTTAAGCGACGAACGGCAAGTGTTCAGTCTTCGATTCTCATAGAAGTGAAACTGCAAAACATACAACATACAAACATTTATAAATATATATACATTTATATATCAGCATACATTAGTTGATAGTTTGCTAAAGTCATAGCTGAAACCGTGCGAAGAAGATGGCTGTTGTGGTGCGCTGTTGAAAAGTCGTGGAGTGAAATTTACCAGCGACCTTTCAATGACAAAAATGCTGAAGCCAGTTTTCTTGCTAGGTATATTATGTGTATTTATATACCATACCGTGGTTTATAAACATTGCTCTCTAGCTCCTAGCTAGAGGTAAAGACATATATGTATACAAAAGTATTGAAGATTTTCCCTTCCCTTCTCTGTACCGACTGTCTTGCCCTGCCTTCTCTTCTCTTCCCTTCCATTCCATTCCATTCTCTCGCGTTAACGTTATATGTCTGTGTATTATACATATTGTATGTACGTATAATATTATATACATAGTAGTAGGTTGAAAGGACGATGGGAATCTTATCCATGAACCCCCGGAGCTATGAAGAAGGTCTGCTAGCCTACTTAAAAATATTTTTAATGTTAAACGCTTACAACTTTTAAGTATGAGCATCTAATTGTGAGTATAAAAGATTTTTTATAATCTTCAGCTTGACGATCATCATCATTATGATCATGATGGTTACGAAGGTTTTTGCTCTAGCAGAATTCTTATCTGGAAAAAGTATTGCAGAGACGAAAGAGAATAGAACAAGAAACAGCAGCTGGTGCGTGATGCATTTACGAGGAGCCGGAAGTAACGATTAGCAAAACAAGAAAGAGCTTTTATATTGAATCATCGCGGATGGCCCATTGTAACTTTACTTAGGCGTCGGTCATGTCAGACGTAGTTAGTTTAGTTGTCGTGCATGGATAGTACAGGGCAGCATGTTGTGTAGCGAGTATGCTTGAGGCTTGTGGTGGAAAGACCTCTCATCTCGCGTGATACGCACGACGGTCAGCTGACCTATACCTTTATATGTTGAGAATCGTACGATATAATATATCGTCGCTCTACTAACTCTTATCTCCTTCTATTCATTTTTATGAGGCTTATCTTTATAGATGATATATATTTGATACTGAGCATTAAGATACATAGTAGCACACACGTTTAAATAATTCATGGGTTTTACGAGCGACTTCTTTTTGCTCGGTCGTTCTTCTTATCCTTTTATATTGCTCATCAACGCGGTGATAAATTTTTATATTTATGTGCAATAAAAATAAATAAAATTTTATCGCAATTGTTCTGATATTTTGAGGTAGAAATTGGAAACTTTGTTGAGGAAATAGTTAAAGATTGAAAAAGTGAAAAATGGATAACCATTTATTTGATGATGCACGTAATATTTATATCTAGGAAGACAGATTGAGATTAGATGGTATGTGAGATGAGTTTTCTTTTAAAAGTGAAAGGTCAACGGGGGATTTAGTATTTTTTCTCACGCCGACGGCTACCGTTAAGCAATTTCTTGTGAGAGACGTTAGTTGCGCGATCTGACAGCTTAAACTCACGTCTATGCTAAATATTATAATAATATCAGCGCTCTTGCAAGCTACTATGAAGGCCAGGCGTTCTCTGGTTGAATTACTCGCGTTTTAGACGACATTTAGGATTCTCATATTATCTCTCAGTTTAATTATTATTTTGTTCTTCTCGTGACAAAAGTAATTATTATCAATTTTTACTTTATTCATCACAATCAAGGACACTCGTTGAATTTTTTTTAATTATCGCAAATGACTAGTTATCCCGAGAAATATATTATTATTTCTTGAACTAAAAATGTAAACTTTAGTCTAGAAATAAATTTTAAAAATAAACTCACCTGTCTCGCAGTCGGCTCCTTTCCACCCGTGTATGCAGACTTTATCACCGTTTTCGTCGCAGGTGTAGTGCCCGAATATGTCGTCGCGCGGTCGACAAAATTTGGTGCAGGTTGCATTGTAATAATGATCCGCGCACTGAACCCTTAAACGATAAGTTAGATGTGCGTTTCGTCCTTGATGATTTAAGGTGTGCCACGTAGTACCCGGAAGGACGATTCCGCTGTAACTGGCCTCCTCTATTACTCCGCCGTTGGGCTCGTCTCGTGCCTGAAGAATCAGCGTGAATTGACGCTGAAAAAGGTTAAGATCAATTAGCGGTAATCGATTATGCCCACTTGGGAATTGTCGTACAAATATCTATATTTATTTAGTATCTGTCATTTAATTTATTTCAAATGTCCTAACATAGTCAGTGTCCAAGCATGGAAGATACAGCCTTCCAAAAATGGTAACTGCTGCAAGAAAGTGATACATATGTTATGTTATTTTTTTTTTTATTTGTCTTCTGGTTACAGTTTAATTATCACAAATCAACTAACTTTTATTATATTATATTTATTATTATTTAATGATTCGTGTTCAGTATACTATATACTATCACTACTCATTTCTGTCCACTTATTATGTTATACATACATATAATCTGATACGATAATGTCAAATGACAGATAATGAAGCAATCTTGACTTGACAGTCGCTGACAATTTAACTCAAATAAAAATGATTATAATTATTTTTATTTTTAATGTTTGGCTCGTAATGTCAACAGTCAGTCCCACGGTTAAAAGTACATTCAATGCCGGTATATGAGACACAATACATTTGTTTGCAAGTAGCATTCCGTACTCCATGAAATACCTATCTGATGATACGTTGAAGAACGCATTGAATTCTTGAGTAAGGAGTTCCGGATAATGCCTTTTTATAACATTATATTATATTATATTATATTATACTTGTACTACAATACCTAATATTTTTTATTATTTATTATTCTGAGAGGTCAATGTGTGATTTTAATAGTATTATATCTACTGTAGACTGATACATGAGTGAAAAGCAAAGACTGGTCAAAGAGTTGAGAGTATAAAGAGTGAAGAGAGAATAAAAATAATAATAAAAAATAAAAAAGAATGAGCGACTTGGCGGACGTTGAGACTTTAACGACCAGGTTAGATTGCCGCGCCTGATCGAAGGAGCCATGAGTGACGGTCGGTTGATGCAATAAATAAATACCGATGGTGTGTGTACGTGTACATGCTCAGGATGTCTTTTGTGTGGTTGGCGTCGGCGGGAGGATAGGACAAGTCGGTGTAGCAAACATCGTACATCGTACGCAATGCGTTGTTGCTTTTTTCGCGCATTAAATGCTACGCGAATCCGTCGATCCGTGGCTGTTTGTTTCGTTTGAATTTGCAACACAAGTGAGTATTGGGACTGTACCTGGGACTCGGATTGGGCGGCATGGGGCATCAATGCGATGATAAATACTCTTTCGAGCTAATGTGGGTACTAAGAATGTGAATAAGATACGTGATTTGAGATTGGAGTTTTAGTCTGGAGTTTGCAAAGACGAGTCGGAGTTGAGACTGCAAGTCTGAAGCAATCGCTAGTGGGAGATCTCTGTGTTCTCCATAACGAGTCGAGAGGAAGTAAACTGCGGATTCGGTACTCTCTGGATAGGATAACAATCGAGAAAGTAATGTCGGAAATTTCAGACTGATGTACGATATTTTATGCGTGGGTGTTTACTTATATACTCGGTACTCTGTCTATATAATGATGATAATACACAAAGACTTTGTTTAATGCTGAATGTCGGTAGTCAGTAGTAGTGGTAATGCACGGCCAGACAGACGAATCACTATAATATGTATGTTTAAATGTATAAATGTATAAATGTTCGACAACGTTGTCGCTGTCGATGAGCACGTAGAAGTAGTAGATGAGAACTAATTGGTGTTAATTGGTGGCTCGCTCGAAGCTCGGGTTTCCCACGCCCGCGACTTTAGCGCTCCCATTTATTTAGTTGTTGCCTTTTTTTCCTGCTTCGTCATACCCATTTACTTCTGCTACTGTTTGAGCTTTCTTTTTTTATCTTCACACCTCGTATGCTTACATGTTAAGATTATTCTAATTTATATTACTTATTTAGTTGTGACGCTTTAGAACTGAATGGAGAAAAAGAATACGCAAGAGTATAAAATAAAAACAACAAGGACAAAGAGAAAGATAATAAGAATAATAATAAAAAATAAAAGAAGAAGAGCAAATGTAATACGTTATGTAGTGAGTAGTGTGTTTGAAGAATGGCTTTGAAACGCGCCCGGTTTCGCTAATGTAACCCAAACGATAGCCTTTGTCGGTCCGGCAATTTCTCTACCCTTTTTCTCTCTTGTCTCTTATTCGATGTTAGTTTTATTTTAAGCTATACACTAAGGCTGTACTCTCCAATACACCGTGTATCTTCTATAGTATCCTTATCCTTATTCTTATTCTTATATTAGACTCTCGACTTAACTCTACTCTGTCTTAGCGAGAGGAAGAGCGCAGTGGGCGGTCGCGATCGGTGTACGACACGCTCGTGAGCCATAATCGAGACTTAATTTTTTATCGTCTGCAAAAATTTTGACTATACATAATATACATCATTGATAAAATATTGCCCGTTGTTTTTAGTTTTTCCCTTTTTATTTGTTATTTATTTTTGGTTCTTGGGCTTGGGTATATTTATAGAGAGATGTTTAGACGGTCCGGGAGGTCGCGGAAGAAATTCCCAGTGTTCCGCTTCCGTTACTGCAAGATCTGCTGAGAATACTAATGGTTTGGGTTTGTTGGATCGCCCGAGGCTCATCCGGTTCTATTGCGTAGGTACAATACAGGAACCGTAATAATCAGCCGTTTAGATCGATTGTACTATACGCGCAAGTTCCGGCGAAAGCCTTCCTTCATTCTATTGCTATTGCTATTGGTGTTATTATTGTTTTTATTTGCTAATGTACCTCACCTTACCACTTGAACGTCTTTTCGTCTTTTCTATAGAACTCTGCTCCTCTATTAAGGACATATTATGCATGAGTGTCTACATATTAATGCAAAAAGAATATAATGGAACAACGAAAAGGAGACTGGACTCTTGTCTGAGAACAATACGGAGGAACTTCCTGTGCTAGTGTACTTTTTTAATTGTTACAAATCAACAATTCTTAAATCCATTCTTATATTTATTTATTTATCTTATCTAATAAAATTAATAATTTATTTTTTGCGTTACATATGTGATCTAATTAAAGTTTGGAATATTTTAGCGAGACACGGTTGTAGGAAAAAAAAAAGAATAAATAATAAAAAGCTAAGTGTTTAGGTCATTGCATTTAGTTTAAATGAATTGCTTTTGAGTTGATTAAATGAAGGAGTGCTACTTTTATCAGGTGGTTATAACGAGATTGTCGACGTCGCCGGAGGGAGTAGTAAAAAATTGTCGCGTCGTCGAGTCAGGCGTCAAGGCACGTAGCTGATACCTCATCGACGACGGTATATCCACATAGTCTACGGTCTACCTGTAATCCGGAGAGACCGAGATGACATGTTGTGTGTGCGTGAGAAGCCTGATGTGTATACCTTTTATTTATATATGTATACAATATACAGTATTATATATAAATATATATATAAATATATATATATATATATATATATATATATATATACGTCTTGCAGGCTGATGACTAGAACACCGGAGTTAAGTGCAAGTCTGACTCTGAGGTCTCAGTCTGTTGTCTCTGTGTCAGTCAGCGAGTGTGGTACCTCAGCTCGTGTTTCGCGGAAAGGATCGGACAAGTTGTACGTGAGGACGCGTACAAACTCTTCTACTACTTTACTAACACTGTGTTTATATTTATTTATATATTTCTTATACGTGTAAAGTTGAGGCCGATAGGTAGAAGTATAGGAAGACTCACGTCGTGAAGGCACGATGACTCCCTCGAGCTCTCTTTTTTCCTTTATGGCGTCCTAAATCTTGGCCGCGGCATCATCGGAGATTCAAACGACTTCAATCAACACAGATAGAGTTGAATAGCTAATTTAAATTTAAGGAAGCTCTTTTAATTTCTCACGCCGTTTTTTTTTCTTTTTTTTTATTTTCTTAATTCGGTCTATTATGTATTATTTATAAAAATATATAGTCTATTTTGTAGTACGCGAGGAATCAGATCCCCAATGAATAATAACAATGATGATGACGATGATGATGATAATGATAATAATAATAAAAAGGCAGAAGGTCGATGCTTCAGCTACAAAGGGTCCAAGGACGAGCATATCTTCTCTACTCGGAGGTCTCTCGAGAATTCTTCGATCGAGATGATGCACACAGGGATTCTGAGTGGAAGAGAAGAAATGAAGAATATAATTGCAAAGTTGGATGAGCTAAAATGAAGAAATTTTTAACCGCTTTTTTAAATTAACAAATTTTAATTACTAACTTTAATAGTTGTGTTTCAAAAATATTAACAACTCGATCGGAATGAATTAACTTATCGTTTTTTAGTTTGCAGTGATTTAACATTTAATTATTTCGCGGAGGTAATTATTTTTCGCTTAATTTTTGTCGGAGCTGGATAGCGAGGTGGATATATATACGGGGAAAAAGGTTTACGTGATTGCGTGTACTTAATACTCGAATGTTTAAAGACAAGTAATAAAAAATACAGGATATATATTATATACGTACAATGGAAGATAGAATGGTGAATCTTGAAAGTTTGCTCGGAGATGCGAGTTTAAAAGTATTTTATATACATTATTACATTATTATATTAGTCCGGTTCAGGTTCTTGTCTGATGTGAGTATAAGTTTGAGTTGTAAAGAACGGAGAGCCACTGCGATTCTCCGTTGGCTGGTCTTGGTCTTGGTCTTGGTCTTGCTCTCAGTCTTGGTCTTGGTCTTGGACATATACACTGACGAGGGGTAAGGCGAAAAGCCGAAAAGAGGTTTGGTATGCGGCTCGCGGAGCAAGTTCACACACGTTTAAACCTGAGTGAGGTAGAATGAGACTGCGGAGGAAGCAACGAAGAAAGAGAGTTTCTCTGTTAAAAAGATGTAAAAGAGTAAAAAGGGATAAAATGAAAGAGGATAGAGATTAATGTATTGAATACATATAGTTGTACATACATTTATACATAGATACATACATACACCAGAGAAAGGGAGATAAGACGAGAAGAGATGAGAGTAAAAAACAGAGAAGCCGTTGCCTAAACCGTGGCGACATATCTTCTCATTTACATACGCCATTATACACCTGTGATGCACATCTCTTATGTATACAATACACACAAGTATATACATGCATGCAAATATACACACACTCACCCACACAGTATTTAAGCGTATGCATACGTCAAGTGGATGAAAAAATATGTACAACTCGTACTCTTTACATATTACGTGTGTACAATCTCGTCACTAATGTTCCAATGTGTGTTTGTCGATGTAATGGTTTTACTTTTTATTTATTTTTCCTTTATTATTCTGGTTCAGGTGCTTTTCTTATTCATCAACTAGATTTTTGCTTTCAATTTATTTTTATGTCTACCTTTTAAATCCGTATCGTGAGTCGAGTATGTATTGTATTTAAAAATTTACAAGTTTTTCTTATAACATGTTGCCTTTATAACATTTTTCTCACTTGCACACAAATCTCTTATGCCACGATTTTGAGCTGAGATGCAGGTATGTATACACCTGTTGGAGCGTGAGTCACTTGCTCCCCTGCGGGTTCTCAAGAGCTCACATGGTTAAAAAATAAAATTAACAAATGTTTGAAAATAAAAAATTGCAGTATAACACAGCATCGGAGATAAAAAAAGGTTAAATCCGGTTTTGTTGATACTTAAAATTCTTCTTTATGTATTATTTTGTTTCGCTGCATGGGTATTAATATTATAACGCTTGAGATTTTTGTTTTAAAACTACCGTATTGATGATATTTCGTTATTATAGTAGATAGCGGCAGGTCTTAATGAAGACGCCGATACAAGTGGAACCGATATAATATGATATCGGGATTTGGATTTGAATTGGGAATATTATTATTACCATCATCTATATTATATAGCACAGTAAAAGTGTGATATGAAGGGTTGGCGGTGTTTTGAGTACTTTGTTTATGTTTATGTGGCTGGATGTATGTGTATCTGGCAATACGCCACACATGTGCTACGGCCACGTGGGTCCTCGAGCGTGACGTCATATCATTGATAGAGGCGCCCACATGCACGCATGCAACCCGCACATATAACACGAGACCAACTTTTACTACATATCTTATGTTACTGTTACTATTACTGTTTTAGATTTATCTATTTTTATTTATTCACTCAATATTTCACAGCAGTCACCTAATTGTGCAATCATTTTAATTATTGATTAATTTCATAATTTCTTTAAAATATTTTTAATCCAATAATAATAATAATCTTGACATAAGAATCAAAATCAATTAGCAGGCTTATATTCAAAGCAAACAACTTAGCAAACACAAATATTTATAATCGATACAAAGTAACAAAAAATTTCAATTAACTGCGTTACAGCAGCACGCAACTTGTTTTATTAGCATTATCTGTACCCGTATCTTAGTAAGCCATCTAATTACCGATGATTCAAACAACTATTTTCCCTTCACCTCAATTCTCGAAGAAAATTCTTCCATCAGCATCAATATCAACATCACTCTGGCATTACCTGTACCAGCAACAGCAACAGCACCCCATTGCCGTTAAATCCATCAATTTAATACATTATACATGACGTAATTGCAATAATATACTTGATGTAATCAATGCGATTCGCTCGGGTCTAATATCATACACCTCTCAGCCCATTTATCGACACAGTCATATAGTAATAGATAAATATAAATACATATGAGTACCACGGAAGCAATACCTATTAAAGAAGTTCTCGATTTTTATTTTATTTTATCATTAAAAATACCAAATTAATATTTAATTCAAACAAGCTACAGATTTATATGAAAATCATTACTAAGAATGATAATGAGGGATGTGCATGAAAGTGATGAAAGATAAATACAGGAATGCATGTATGTTTAAAAATAAATTACGGTATGCAGACATTTAGGCGTCATGATTTAGATAGAACAATCTATTATACCCCAGTTGTTGATGCATGTAATATATTATAAAAATGACCGATAATAGATAGAAGATGATAATATGAATAAATGATAAAGATAAAAATGATAGCAGCATAGGTGAGGGTATTTATGTAAAAGAACAATGGATTATTTTAGCTTGGATGAAATATAAAAGATTTAATAATGTTAGTGTAGGCGTATACTGTACATAAATAATAAATATAGGTGTTTGTATATGTTTATGTATATATTTGTTAGAGAGACTGTAATGTAAGGATATGGATTGTGCAAAGTTGTATGGTATCCTCTCACCTATCGTGCATTCTATTCCCTCACGGCGTTTAATTCTTCCAATGCATAGCTTACTGAGTAGAGTACCGATGTAGATGCGAGCAACAAGTATAGCCAAAGACGAATGAAAGAGTCTCGACAAACTTTATAATGCTTGTCTTCTTTGCGGAGATACAATATTGCATAGCATTGCATTCGATTTTAAGGATAGAAGCATCGCACGACTCTCTTTACGAGAAGAGGTATACTATTAGATATTACCCACTCTTGAATTCCATTTGTATTTATATGGATAATATTATATGTATGTTTCTATACCATCATGTCATGTAATGGTGAAATGTAACTCTCAGCACCAGCACAGATGCTTTTGCTCTAAACTGTACTTATATATATATAGTGTAGTTTTATGTGTATAGAGAGATAATATTCGCGATGTAATGGAGAACGGCACCGTTTATACAACCGCCGTGTTCCCCATGTGATTCGGCACGCTTTTTCACTGATGATGTTTAAGTTGCTATTTCTCTATATTATATTCACTTTTATTCTCTTATTCCACTCGTTTTATCTGTGGTGTTACATGCTTTTAGCTACTCTCTGACTGCTGGCATCTGGTTGGCGTTTAACGCGCGCTCTTTCTCGTGGGAGCCAAACACCGTTTATGAAAGACATCACTGAGATGGTTTAATGAGTTGCCGAAGGCGCGGGATCAGGTTTAAACCTTTGGGCTAATTTTTTTCATTCTTAACGTTGTACTGACCTTACTCACTTTCAATTCAAATTGTTTATCCAATCTTTTCTTTCAATTATAACGCAAGTATTGATCTCATTTTTTTTTTCGCTAAAATGAGCACGTGAGAGATTGAGAGTAGTTGGATTTTTTTTTTTTTTTTTTTTTTTTTTAAATTAGGTTGATTGAATAAATAAATTGAATATGATTATGATGCAGGAAACACAAAGAGAGAAATGACGAGTTATTATAAGTTGATTATATCCGGGAAAGCCGGCGTGTGGCGAAAGGAAATTCAGTAAATAATGATGATGAGGATATAAATGAACCGTGTGTGAATTTAGTGTATTGATGTGTGAATAAGGTACGTTTGTATTAATATGTGTCTCTTGTGTGCTTTGACCAGATAGCTAAACTTCCGGATGTTTACTATCAAGCCAGAGAGTATCACAACGAGCCCGCGGATGAGAGCACGAGACGCTCAGAAGGGAATATATATTATGATGTATTAAATAATTGTGTGATATACATGAATGAGCGTGGTATAAGAAGAGTTAGGAGTAAAGTAAAGTGTGTAAAGAAAAAAATTGTAAAAGAGAAAAGAGATGAGTTTGAGGAATAAGAACCGGAACATACAAGTAAGCAAAGTGTGTTTACTTTTCATACTCGAATTTAGTGGTGTTTAACAACTATGAACAGCTTGAGACATTCATAATTGAATTAGCCTCGAGGAACGCTAAACGGAGGCGAGGCCAAGACGGTGTTTTAACTCTAAAAAGCCTAGGTTTTATCGTGAGAGTTTTTGCTCTACTCCAGCTTACTCTACGTCCAACTGGATACATAATATAATTAATATAATAATAAAATAAATTATAATAGCAAGTAAAGAAACAATTTAAGGGCTCGAGCTTACGGTTTATGGCTCGGGTGTTTTGTTTAATTTCGCTGGGATTTTGTCGGATGGAGGATTAGAGATAGTAACGGAAACCGAGGTTTAGTACGGAATAAAAATAATGTTTCAGTTGAAGAGTTTAATTGGTGGAAAATAGTCGGGGATTGAGGTTATTTATAGAGGGAGGAGGGAATTAAAAAAATGTTTGAAGAGAGGACAGAGGAGATGAGTGATGTAAAAAAATTAGGATGAGAATAAAAAAGAGATAATTTAATGGTTGCTGGCACTTGATGTTAATGAAGATGATTGAGGCAGGATGGAACCTCTTGTATGTCCACGAACGAGTTTAAAAGTTATGAAATATGTTTGTATATATATATTTATAGGTGTTCATCTGAGCATGTGTGAGTGTGTTTATATATATAAACATTTAAAAGGAGGAGTAGGAGTAGGAGAGCCCACTAGAGAACATCTTCAATAAGTACTTGAACGTTTTAATGTACTCGTTTATCTTACGGTACACATCAGGTACTGGAGAGAGTTAAGAGTTTAATATCGCACAATTAACTTGCGTCTTTGTTCGAGCAACAGCCGTAGCCACGGGTTACGGGTTTATATAAAACCCTTGGGGTATGTGTTTACGCTAGGGCTTATGTATTTATCTGGCTTAAAATATAATAATATTATGTTTATGTATTATGTATGGTATATAAGAGACAAGAGACAAGAAAGGAGAAATGAGGAAAAGAGAATGGATGATAATATGAGAGGAGGTGAAATGAGATCCCTGAACAGACGATTGCACAACGAGCATGCATACAACACGGGTGACAGGATGTGTTGTCGGATATGCGTGTTTAGGACATGTGTCTCGTCGAGAACAAGGTAGAAGGGGGCCAAGGAGGAACAACAATCTTGACCGAGGTATTTTGGAATGAATGATGCTCAGTCTTTGGAACGAGACTGAATTGCTGAAGAGCAAGAATACGTAATCCGACTAACAAGCGTACGATCGTCGGAGCGGAAATTATGAGTCCTATTTTCTCTGCTTCAAAAGTTCGCTGCTGTGCTGGTTTGGTCGAACTTATATACTACCGATTCAGATCCAGACAAGCCGGCATTTTCACGTTTAACTACCCTGGAATATTCTACGCGCTCCAAAGAATCATCTGCTATTTCAGTACTGTATGGCATTTCAATACGAATAAAACATGATTTTTATTTCCGAAAATTTTACACCACTCCGAGTTTTTTTTTCTGCTTTTTATAGGCTTTTAGTATTCTCGGGTATTTTTATAAATAGTTTTAGGTTTGGAAACTATTTTGTTTTTATTGTGTTACAAGTTTTTTTTAAAGATTTATGGGAATATTTTTAGCATTCATAGAAATGGAATAAATTGTTTTGGTATTTTTTAGGTTTAAATTTAAATAACACAGACAGACATAATGATAATAATAGTAGTAAATTTTTCTTTGGACGTGTTTATGATTTCTTAGGGTCTGAGAAGATGTAAATAAACCTTAGAACATTGATGAGTAGTCTGAGTGTCTTATTTGATAAATGATTAATATAAATAATTTTAATAGACACTTACCGTCCATCTGAATGTGAAATGAAGTTGAAGTGTCACAGGTTCAATAAGAGTAAATGTATTTTGTCCAAGCACCTGACTAGATACGTTGCCAAAGCTACATGAGCCGATGGCTGTTACATTTGACTGATACTCTTTAAGACACAGCCAAAAAGCTGTTGTGCAAGTTTGAGAACAAGGGGGAAAACCACCCCGTCCGCCGGAGTCACGTCCCCCGCCGCAACAACGACCGTCCACCAGCGTGCCCCTGTTGTTTGTTAACGACAGTATCTGCACCTCGAAATATCCGCTACCGGTTGTCGCCTGTCAAACATTAAACACAATAATTATATCCTTTATGTCTACAGCCATCATAAACATACAATTACCGAGTGAAGCATAATATATGTTTATTTATGTCTAAAAAACTAGATATATAGATATACAGATACAGATACAGATATAGATATAGATAGTACAGTAATTGTAGTTGTATATTAGGAACGTAAAAAAAAATCCAAACAACCTAGCGAGCTTTCGAATTATCATTAAATCCGGCACGTGATGATATTCTTATTTTTTAGTGATTCAATATTTTTTATCCTTCCATAGATTAATTTAAAACTCGCAAGAACGATCCCACGTTTTCTAATTGCCAGGCAAAACGATGTTTGACCGGTTAAGCAATTATGGAATAGAAAAAAAAGGCACTTGATTAGCGAGTCTTATAATGGCCTGTGGTTTATACAAGTCTAATGACTATGACAAAGAGTCACGTGACATATTATATTAAAAGAGAGATCAAATTAAATTAAATAAATAATTATAGTAAATAATACTATCAAGATATTGAGTGGGTTATTATTCATTTTTTTATTGGTCTTTTTTTTAATTATTATCGTCACCACTGATTGACCACCAACGTCAATGCTCTATACATTATACATATTTAAAAAAAGTGTGTCGTAGTAAAGATTAAATTCAAAATTTTTAATTAAAATATTTCCTCATAATTCTTACGATAGAAAATTCAAAATCATTAATTTGTGATTAACCAATTAAAATTTATTATCATTATTATAATTAAATAAAAATCGTTTCTTATTTTCTGCAAGTGATTAATTTTAGATTAGTTTAAAATCTCGGCTGCATTTATTAACATTTAATTAAGAAAAAATGCTGTGAGCCGAGCCGGGAATACAAACTCGAGCACGGTTTCGAAATAGCTTAATATACTCCTATCCAATCCGTGATTTTGTTTTATTTTAGTGGTGAATTCTCGAGTCGTCCCGATTAGGACTAAACGTGTAGATATATATACATGTATGTATCTGCGTTTCCCGTTATTCGGTTTACGCGAGTTCATGTGGGTTACCCACACATACATATATAAATAAACATATATTTAAAGTGTATTCATTGAACAGAGTAAAAGACTAGAGACTAAGGACTACGGAGTGGAGACCAGAGACTACTAAATAGATATACGGAGCTGAGGTAGAGAGGTATCCCCGCATCAGCAACTAACTTTTAAAACGATAAAACTCTTTCGGAATACCACCATCCTATGTATATTGAGTCGCGGTTTTATATATAAACATCAGTACTGTAGTACTGTATGTAGATAGTACTTAAAACTCTTATATAGAGTCAGAGTTAAGTTGGACTCGCAGAGTACCGAGCACATAATATAATATGCACGAGCAACTCACATAGCCTACATAATTGCCGTATAGGAGAGTGTAAGATCGAAGGTAGAAAGCGCAGCTAGAGGATCGTCTGCTGGCCTTTGCTTTTCACCACAAAGCCAATATATATACATATATAATATAAATAAAATAAAATAAAGAAGCATATATATTTACTTCCTCTCCTTATTCTCATTCTCTTTTAATTTTATATACATATATATTGTAAGTCGGTTTTACTATATAAGTTATATAAGGTGATGGGTGATATACCCTCATTTAACGAACCAGTGACATTTCCCCGAGGCCGAGAGTTGAGCTTATACTCAAGTAATTGAAGCGACCGTGGGTATATCGACAGGATCGATCATGTACTAGAGAGTTTCCACGCTTATTATCATCACTATATATATATATATAAATATATATAAACATTTATATAAAAAAATAAATATAATCGCACGCTCTTTTTCACGTAATTTTTATTTACATTAACATACAAATCAATTATCATGTTTGTATGTATGTTTTTAAAAATATTAAAGGTGAATATATAAATATTAATGAAATTTTTTCTAATGGATGAATAATTTCAATTAGTAATAGTAATAATTATTATTAATAGTGATATAATACTTTGAAAAGTTTATTTTTATGCAAGATTTTATTTAGATAAAAGTGAATTCCATGAATTATTTATTACTAAAAATAATTATTTTAATAGTTGTGTAATTTTTAGTAATTGCTTTTCTTTATTTTATTTTTTTTAATGAATGTTGACGTTTTTTTTCGGTGATGAAAAATTCGCTCTGGGGAGATTAAAAGGTCACGACAATTTTTGTATTGATGACGATAAATTTATCACTTTAAGCCTCAAGTGTTAATTGACATTTTATAAATTCAATGTTTGTGTATCTTACATTAAATATAATTATTGGAGTGATTGTATTTATTATAATTATAATTATAATTATAAAGTTATATAAATTCATATCATTAACTTTAATAACACATTTTCATCTAATTAAATAAAAGTAACGATGACTGTTCGATTGTGGTTTATTTAAAGAACGTTAAAAAATAAAAATATCTCCGTCGTAATTATCCCGCTTTAACGTCTTATCTTTGAGAAGTCGTATAATTAGAAAATGTACGCGCTAATGTAGATAAGAGAAAAGCTTCTAATTGAATTTAACGGATCTCATGGCAGGTTCCATGTCCGATATAAATTTCTTGTAGCTTTTTTTTATTTATTTATTTAACAAACTACTAATTCTCATAGGCTCTTCTCGGCAGTGTACATACCTGGTACATAGTGAGGCAATAATGAGATTTTATGCCGATACTGCTATACATAACACTGAGCTATTAGCTGTTAATTTTATTTTACATCACATATTTTTAAAACTTTTATTGCTTTATTGCAAGTAATTAAATAACATACACCTACAAAACGAAAGAAATAATTTATTGGGATTGTGACTGGGACGGCACGTGTGATGTTGCTGTTAAGAGATCTCCATTAACTCTCATTTCTCATTTTGGAAAGTAATAAGTTGAGTTTTAACTCTATACAACCATAAACATACCATACTCAGTCCAACAACTTAATGTTCGTTCAAGTTAACGCGTATGTCCACATTTAGATCCCAGATCTCTCAGCAAACAGAAAGACTAAAATGTTAATCGCTGAGTAATCGAACGTGCACGACCAACACGACAAAAATTACCAATAACACATAACAGAGGAGCTTAAGTTTGAACAACTGAACAAAAATAGTTAATCAAATAACAAAAGATCAACGAAAAAAAAATAATAAAGTAAAATAATGTAAAATAAAAGGAGGAATAACTAAATACTATTTGAAGTTTTCAGAGTCTCCTCACGTGTTCAAGTCGAATCACAGAACAGAAAAGAATGACTCTTAGTATCGCTGTGTGATGTTATGTTTTCAGTACGGTAATATAAAATAAAAGACGAGGAATAACGATCCATGAACTGTTTTGTATACCGTAAACATTATATTCTATTCTTCCAAATTCATGAATGTGTAAAGCTCAAATCGGTGACAACACGCGATGAATTTTTACGACAACCAAATTTCAAATTTTAACGAAACATTGGGCAATATAATCCTGGATTTATTATTATCGTATTTTTGTCTGTACATTGTACGATATTATACATTTACATGGTTAGGGAAAATGGCCCATTGAATTTTTATTGCTTTAGTATACAAAATAAATTATCGAGACGCACAACAATTTATTTTATCGGAATACTAAAAGTGAAATCAACTACAAATTAATTATGAAAAAACTTTAATTAACTAGCAAGTGCTAGAAAACTTTTTTTTTACAAATCATTACTCTTTTAGCGTAATAAAAATTCATGACTCGCTTTTAATGAACCAATAAAAAGTATTAGCGATAAAAAATTCCTAAGTATTATTATACTTGTACTTATAATTATATAGTTATTTACATGTCGTGTAGTATCGGTAAAAAGTGAAACAAGTTGCCTTAAAAAAAAAAAATAAATAAATAATAACAAATTTATTAGCCTCGTTAAATGTATGATAAATACACATCTATATATGTAGAGAGAAGACAAATCCATAAACTACTGTCGTGGAATATAAATCATTACGAAGAGTGAGTTTCTCACGCGATGAGGATGCATAAGCAATTCGTTCCGGGCAGTTCGTCAATTGATTTCCGGACTGGAGTCACCAACGACGTTTATATACGCGATTTATCCATGGGTTGCATATAAACATCCTTAACATTATTTCTTACAATGATAATAACGTACTCCAGGGCGCTGTTGTTTATACCACACCGTGTGATATGCTGCGTCTTACTACCCACAGAACATAACTTAGAAGTACTCGTATAGACACTAATAACAACAGCAACAAGTACAAACACAAGCACATGCGTGTAGCGATAAAAATAAAAATAAAAATACATTTATATTATTTATATCTGGTATCTGTGGATGCTAAGTAAAAGAAGAAGACGCGAATAAGTAAGGGAGTTTGTTGTAGGAGCGTCGCCAGCGAAGAGTAGGCTTTCCTTTCCGCATAGTCAAGGTGCAGCGAGCCATACCTACTCGCTAGTTTCATTCGCTTATATACGTGGAAGTTACCGTGGAGTTAATATGAATAATTTGTTGGAACAAAAAAGACCCGTCCAGCATAATCTTGAACGAGTCTACCGTGTCCTCCTCCTCCTCCTCCTCCTCATCTTACTTCTACATCTACTTCTACTCCCTCGCCGCCTCCACCTTCACCCGCATCTTTTTTGTCTCTATTTTTTATTTCACTTCTGTTACTTGTACTCGTATCATCTCTGTCATAAATAATTTTTTTAATCCCTCCACATTATACAATTCCCTTTTATTCTAACTAAACAACGAGGTATTTTAAAACGCGTGAAAGTTTTATTCGTGGAATTTAAAACTCAATAAAAGAAATGAATGTACGTGTGTCTATGATGCACATAAATTTATTGTATCGTATGTGTAAAAGCAATAAATATAATTTATAATATTATATGATATGATAAATGTTAATGGTTTTTTTTTAAATGCTTTCAGGTAAATTATTTACGAGATGTAATTGTTCGAGCATTTCTGGATGGTACCAATACAATCTTAAACATCAGAATGAGTTTCAGGAGATCTGAAGACAAAATTAGCTGTTTGGAGCTAGGTAAGTTTGAATTGATAATTGAAAATTGAAAATTAAAAATTAGTGTGTAAGGAAATGAATGCACCGAGTTATGTAGATTTTTAAATAATGTATTAACTACACGCGATTCACACGAAACCCACGCTAAATTCGCGTGAGCAATGAGGCAGCTGCAAGAGTAGAACTTCAATCAAATTATTATAATCGTTATAGACGACTGGACAGAGCGAAAGGAAGAGAACGAAATATACTAAAGATAAAATGAAAAAAAAAATAAATAAAGAATGAAAATAATAATGATAATGATAATAAATATAAAGAAGGAGACGGGGTTCGGGAGAGCGAGGCGGGCTCTGGAGGTCGAAAGAGATCGGAACGTCGTTCCAATTCTCCTGGCTCTTATTATCTTAATCTGACGAGAGCTGACCACTGTCATGTATGTAATATATGTGTATATAGGTATATCCAGTATATATATGGTTATCGAGTGTGTCTTATTGCGAGTCCCGTGTTGTAAGCTTTAATTTTTTGTATACGTCCAATGGTAAAATGTTTAATTTAATTAAATTGACACATACGTTCAGAGACTCCGGTAGGTACGTCCGTGAATTTTTGAATATAAAATCATGTCATTTTTTTTATCGAGGAATAGTATGTAAAAAATTATATTCTTGATTCGCTTGATATTTATTCGAATTTTATTTAAATTTGCCGTGAGAAATTAAAAGTTTTTTTTTTTTTATAAAACAAAATTATTGATCGTTTTCAAAAGAAAAAAATTCTTTATTTAATAACAAAGTAAAATAATTACTGTAGTTTTAATTAGTTTCTCCGTTTATCGTTTTTCGCCGATTGTATCATAAATTAGAGACGGGCAGTGAGTTCAAATCGAAAATAGCCCCGCGAAATAGTCTGCGTTGTTTAAAAAAAAAGATAATAAATATATATAAATAAACCGAAATACAAAATAAGTAAAAAAGGGATGAACGGCTGAGAGAAAAAAATAAACGACGCACGTAAGTTTTATCTTCTCTGCTCCAAACTCGTCGCAGGTAGTAATTACCAGTGGCCGCTACCTGCCGGAGTGAAATAGACCTGCCGAACGCCATTTAATTTTATATCATGTGGTACATATACATGTATATGTGTATGTTTATATATTCTTCCTCTAAATTGTGTGTCGGAGTACGTGTGAGTGTAGCGACTAATATATAATCTAATCCTAGGCTTGTGCTAGTCGCACGTGTAGACTGCTTCACTCAATAACCGCTTAAACGGGTTACTCCAACCACATATAAAATATATAATATATAATATACAATATATAATATATATGTGTGGATCTTTTCGATTCCATATATACACCAGCTTCTTTATTGTATATACTATATGTTATATACTGTCTTGACTGGTGGCAAAACCTATACTTAATATTTACTATATGGGCATCGATTCGATGTGAACTCACCGCCTTCGAGCTTCGAGCCATTGCTAAATTACTTAAATAATTAAAAATTCCGGCTTAACGAGATGCGTGGGAAGTTATAATCGAGATAAAGATTTACTTGTGTGATTTGTTACGTGATGTTAATGACATACGCGTCACTGCTATTAATTTTTGCATACATGAATGACGACTACCGCCGATTTAATGTGATATTTTTTTCTTATTTTGATATTCGAGAAAACAACAACAGAAATAAAAAAAAAACAATTTTAGCAAAAAATAGTCGCTTAATGAAATAGTTGCATGAAGACGATTCTTGGGTACGCCTACGTGTTTTAGAAGGGTGTAATTGTGGTTTATAAAAAACTTTCTTCGCTCAACGAATGACACTTTTGCGGTCAATTTGTTCTGGTTCATTAATCTTAATATCTTCTTCAGTAGACGGTGAAAAACTAATTCCAAAAGTAGCTTTACATTATAAAATATATAAATTATTATTATTATTATATTATTGAAAATAATAAGTTGTCTTTTAATTAGAGACAAAATTCCCATGCTTAAATATAAATTTGTAGATTTTATTTAAAAATGTCTCAATATAAAATTAACTTGTTAATTTAAATACACGATACGATAAGAAAAAAATTCATTACTAAAATTATCACGTATTCACTTTAAATTAACACCTAATTTATATTAATTTTAAAAAAATATGCAAAATTTAAATTACAAAGTTACGCGCGCGGTGTATAATAAAAATAAAAATAATTAATAAAAAAGAAATATATAAGAAGACGATTCTTGTCTCATGATATCTCGTGGCAAAAAAGAAAGGTGTATAATTTTCAATATAATATACATACTTGCGAGTTGCGAGGGAAATTGAGTTTGCTGGGTAATGAGCCTGCCCCTTTTTCACCCGGTTTAATGAACTCATTTCTGGCGCCGTTATCAGGGCCATTATGGACAAGTTATGCTGTGGCTTTATATTCGCGTATAATGTTATAATAATCGGAGTGCATATTTAATAATAATAATAATAATAATAATAATAATGATAATAACAATGATATTAATAAAAATAAAAATAATAAAGGTGTATGATTAAATCGAGAATCCCGTGTGAGATTATTGCGTAAATGGTGCACGTAAACAGACGGTGAGATGACGATGACGGTGATGATGTTGATGGTGATGACGATACTCTTCCATTCTTCAGCTTATGCCCATGGGCAGCACACTCTATTTATATATATATATATATATATATATATATATATAACAAGGCGCAAAGTGTCGTATAAATAAATTAAAAGGCGGGTAACGAGGTAGAGTAGTAGGGACGATCACATAATATAAACCGAGTGGATCTCAGCACAGAGCACTCGGCACGCGGATAATGAGACGCTTGTTTGATCGCGATTGTGTAGTTAAGTGTGTATGTATACATTACGCCCCTATATATCTTACGATCATCACCCGAGGGCGATGTTAGAGTGAGTCAGGCTACTGCTCGCTCTCTGCTTGCCGATGTTAGGTATATCCTATATAGCATACAGGGAAATATTAAGATCAATCTCAGTCCCTAGCGATGACATGCTTTTTTTCTTCTTCTCCTTTATCCATATTTTTTTGCATCGGCTTAACTGACTCGTGGGTAACCATGTAATAATTTTTATAATTACAATTATCTCCCCGAGGATCATTTTGAGTATTTTGAGTCCAAAAATTAATTAACGAGGCTTGAAGTTTATTTACTTTTTTTTTTTTATAATTAAGACTGTATGATTATAAACATTAAATGAGCTGGTTACTTTTTTATGTAAGTTACGGTACTTTTATGAATGAAAACACTTACTTGTTTAATTTTTATAGGCTTAAATTTTTGTGAGCATTAAATTTCAATTATTTGACTTGAATTTTTATCGTGCAAAAATTTTTAATATCTCTAATTTATTAAAGTTTTTTTTTTTTTTATGTAATTACTTATGTATAAGTCATTGGAATTATGTAATTTAAATCAATGCTCGGCATAGAATAGCAGTTGAAAGATGATAAATTTATAAGTAAATTAAATTATATTCATAATTGATTGTTTTAAATCAGAACAATCATTCTTGTTTTGGTACGTCATTCAAGTCAGCATGGTGTATTATAGAATAAGGAGTCGTTTCAAAACCAGAAGCTTCAATAATTGATTCGTTAACTGCTACCCAATTAGCCATACGTCTAGCGCTATCGTAAGCACATTGTGTAGTTCCTATGATATGTGCTTTGCAAGTGTTATATATAACTTTGTTATCATCAGACCAGCCTAAATTCTCTAATACAGCTATTGGTTGGCGATCACCGATCAATTCTGTCAATATAGCTTTAGCTTTTAGGTTACTCACATAAATACCGGTAGTTTTAAATAAGTCGTCAATGATTGCGGGTATTATAGCATTAAATTCCACGACACCATACTCCCATGCAATTCCATGCTTGGGAAATTGTGCTGTATAAGTTTCTTGAAAATCGGGGTCCAAGAATTTCCATGGATATGGTGGTCCGAAAGTGTAGTGTGATGAATACCAATAACCATCTTCACTTTGAAATATATTCCACATGGCAAATTCTTTTAGTGCATATGTATCGTTTGGCAAATCGTATGTTATAAAATCAACAGTAACAATCATTTTTGTTTTTTTATAATAGTGATTTTATTTATATGAGAGTCGTTTGCTTCTAATATATGTGACTAAATGACTAAAAAAAATTATTTTTTATTCTAAAGAATGTAACATTATTTCTGTTGATTATGTATGACTAATATTTGAAATTATAAAACGATAAATTTTCCTAACGATTCACTTTTTCTAGACTTTTCTGAATAATTTTGAAGCTCATATATAAAAACTGAAATATGTCATAAAATATATAATCGGTCACGGTTTGACGTAAATCCACTTGAATTGTCAAGTAAATTAGACATGACAAGTAATAAATAACCCTTACGAACGTAAGTAGATCGCGAAATAAAAAAAAATTAGAGAGTTAAACATTATGACTAATGTCCTCAATCAAATAATGTTTTGTTTGGTATTCGGCAGAAGGTTAAAAGTTACCTGGCAAAACTCACTGACATACTTATTTTTTTTTGGTTCTTATTTTCAACAATGCAACGCAATACCAAGCAAATCAGCCACGACCGCGTTTCACTGCACCTGCTTCAAATGCGGTTACAATAAAATCTTTGTCATATTTTTATATCGTTAAACTTTTTACTTAAACTACCGCTTTGTACTCCTCTTAACCGCTAATATCCATCATACTAATATATTAATTCTATGCTATCAACTCTAAAGTACTTGTCCATATAATATGATAATAATTTGCCGGTACATTTAAAATAGTATGGTATATAGTGAACAATCCTGCCTACAACGGTACATAAATTAGACCTTGCGCTTTTAATTAAAATACCTGGCCATATATTATCCAACTCGATAAATAAATTATCGAATACTTTATTAACTTGAGAATTTATTCTGAGAACTCGTAAACTGTAGGAAGACGAGAGTTAAGACTGAAAGGAAGAATGAAAGCCTATTGTATTGCATAGTGTTTTTTTTATTATTTTATTTGTGTTGTATTGGTTTTATCTGGAGCTAAAAATCCTGTCTAGTTTTTAGGAGGTCGCACCTGTTTATTTTCTCAGATAAATATATATGACAATTGACCATTCTCCGAGGAATCATATTATCCTAGAAAAAACTAGACTCAAGTTAAGTCCAGTCTGAAAAAGTCAAAGTCTGGCATATAAGTACATATATTAAGAGCAAAAAAAGGAATCAAGAGTTTAAAGATTTAAGCACACCAGTGAAGCTAAATAACAAAGCCAAAGTTAAGTCGTGAGCAACGAGAAGAAGGGCTCAGTAATTTTTACAGTGAGTTCGCGTGACCGGTGTCTAAACGTTGTACCTTCCCGCCCATAAGACTGTAAGACTGCGCTGCTGTTGATGCTGATGCTCCTGCTTCTGCTTCCACAGCATTATATCCCGTCTTCCGTATTTCTGAGGATTCTCGTCTAATTCGCTGCACGCTAGACCCACCAACAGGACCACAACCTTTGCGAAAACAACATTTAGCGTCTTAAAACTTTCTTTCCTTTGATATTTTTTTGTTCTTGTTCTTCTTTTATTATTAATATTCCCGCAAAACAGCTTTTAAAATCTCCACCTGATCCTCAACTTAAGGAAAATTAAAGACAGCATTTATATGCAAAAGTTTACCGTTTAATGATCCCAGTTTCTTTACCCGATTGGAATATTATATTATACATATATAAATGAAAAAAAGAATTAAAAAAAAAAGATAAATATAAAGAAACAACTTTTTAAATTTCCATTTAAATATTCCCAAAGCACGTTAAAGTCTTAATCATCGGCATTATTATGTAAATTATAAACAAGCGATGAAAGGAGAAAAATAAAAAGCGAATGCGCGTTGTCAAGAAGAACTCAAGTGTCTAATGTACAATTTGTATATTTGTAATTTAACTTTTTTTTTGTATTCACTCAAGCACACGAGGTGCGACACACCATAACACAGGGTAATATTTATACGTGTACGTGTATGCTCGTTAGACAGTGAAAGAGAATTAAGTATAAGTGTGTACGGTGGGAAATATCGTCTTTATTATTACGAACATGTGTGACATGTCCGACAGAGTTGTCGTCGCGTGGATTATTATATTGGTTGTATTGAGTGGAGTATACACCATACACACCATAAAGACTAGACTGGTGTTAGATTGAGTATGTGTGTGGTATTGAATCAGAGAGCGTGCTCGTACCCAAGGTGTGACTCACAAGGGCTGAAGTAATTCTCGTGGGAGAAGGTGCTCATTGACAGATATTGCTCATGTGTGTTCACAAGCTTCATACTAATATAAATATATACGTACAAAACTTCAACTCTGTAGACTCGATTATTGTATAAAGGCTAAAGAAAATAAAAAGTAAAATACAGTCATTAAAAGAGAAAGAAAATCTGATTGATTCTGAGAAGTTTGCAACAGATTTGCCAAGGCGTGTACGGCTTTATATTGCGTTGATAGTTTTTTGCAACACGGTTAAATAAAAGTATTCGGTAGATCTCGCACCCTGTCAGCGGGAATCCAACTTTATGGTTCCTTTTCCCGTGACTGGGGTCTCTCTCGCTTCACTCTTGTATTCTTGCCAGTAAACAAACTCGCTGATTCTCTGTCGTCCTCAGAAACCCCCGTCTATCGTGACCAATCACCGAATTAAAGAGCTCTACTCTGCAAAAGGGAACAAAATGAACTGAAGGAGAGAGAAAGAGAGAGAGAGAGAGAGAGAGAGAGAGAGAGAGAGAGAGAATGCGGTGCGATTCATCGCGAGGGCACGTCCGCCTCGGGTAATTAAGCCGCCACGGTAAAGGATGAATTATTACTCGTCTGCCGATAAAATTGCTAAAAAGAAAAGAGAAGAAATAACGTATAGAGATAAAGATTGAAAGCTTTAAGAAGCTACGGGGGTATTATATATAGCATATAGGTATGTATGTTGGTACGTTAATACGAGCTGTGGATGCTGATGAGAAGAGCCCTTGATCATCAGAATGAGCGAGAGCCAAGTAAAGGTGGAAGATGCAAAAAGATGAGAAGCGCAAGGGCATTTGAATAAAGAGTTTCCAGGCTTAAACGATACGGGGTATGGGATGCAGCATTGCCAGCACAAGAGAAACAAGGAGATCGATCTGAATTGCTTGAGCACGTCGTAACGGATTCACGATAATTATTGTCCGGCATCCTGCAATTTAAAGTTGAATACTTAAAGCTCTCGTTCATCGTCGTCCGTCGTTTTAAACCTGATGGCTCTCTGGGCTCCGTATATATCCTTAGACTACTCTGTCGAGAGTATCGAGAAGTGGACGACAACTGGAGTACAGGACAAC